CCTGACGCTGTCACAGCTGTGGCCGATACGGCACCGCCTGTGCGTGATACCAAGCGGACGACTCTGACTGCTGGAGATTTCCAGGCGCTGCGTGTAAGCTCGCCGGATATGGCACCTACATCAGTGGCCCCGTCATCGCAGCCAAGCATTGCACCGAGCTCAACGACCCAGCCAGCGGCTAGCGCTGCACCGGTAGCCCTTCCACCTGCGGACGAAGGTGGCGATTCAATGGGCAGCATTACTGACTCGTACCAGTACGATGCAAGTGCTGCATACGAACAGGCGGCCGAGGCGACCTACGAGCCGTCCAGCACGACTCCTGCCCCCTCTGCCGTCGCGGCGTTGTACAAGCCCCGCGATCCGCCACCTACGACAGGTTCCTTTGAAGAGGCGTACAAGGACTTTAATCCGTTTGTGTCCAAGACGACATCGTCGTTGCGTACAACGCTCCCGCCGCGGCCTGCCGTATCGACGGATGCTCCATGGCCTACAGCCTCTCCATCGCTTGTGCATCCTGCTGTCGCATCGATGCCTAGTGCTACGTCGCCGATGAGCACGATTCATGAGCAGCGCGTCGTCGCTTCGCCAGTCTCGACGACGCCGGCAGCGCGAGAAGCGCCGCAGGCACCTGCTTACGCCGCTGCCTCTGCGTCGTCAGAAGGCACAGCTGCTACTACGCCTGTGGGACCGGTGGCCGTGTCGCCGGTAACGTCGCCAAGTGGCCTTATCCTTCCCCGGCATGATCAGATCTATGCATGGCCAGTTTCTGAGCCTCCGTCTGCTAGCATGGCCCCATTGCCTCCGATTCAGGAGCGATCGCCGCATGTCGACACGTCACAGCCACGCCCGAAACGGACCTTCTCTCGTCCCTTACCGCAACCGCAAACAGCGCCGTTTCCGGCCGTAGAGACACCTACGCTGCCCACGCCGCCAGGCTCTACCGAGGGACCTACGTCACGTGAAACGACCACCTCGACGGCCTACCAACCGACGGACCAGTTTGCGTCCACTCGGCCGCCTATTCAAGTCCGTGTCGTGCCCAAGGCGGCGCCGCAGCGTACCGCGTCAGGGTCGCGCCCTTTGCCGATTCCTAGGGTATCGTCAGTGGTCCGCTCGCCCACGATGGACTCGACCTCGTCGCTCTCTCCGGCGATTCCCTCTTCCTACTCGTTCCTTGCGCCAGCCTCGACGGAGCCTCATACCCATGTGGCACCTACACAGCCGCCTACGTCGCAGCCCGGTACGGCCCGGGTCGTCTCGAATTCCTCGGAGAGCGCCGCTGAATCGCGCCTGGTCCAAGACTATCTCGACACGGACGATGACGATCTAGTGCCGTCTGTGCCGTCCCCTAGGAAGCCAGCATCGCAAGCGATCGTTACCCCTGTGCGCAAATCGCCGCCACCTCCGCCGACGCCCAGCTCAGATCTCGTACCGGACTTTGCCGACGATGAGACCATGTATGGCGCGCCGGATCCCTATGGCTTAGGGCCCACGGCCGAGGCCACACCCAAACCAGCACCCGCTGCATCGAGTCCCTCCTCGCCGCCTGTGGTGTACCCCAGCTCGTTTGGACGCAAGTCACAAGCGCGACTCTCTACCGCGATGACACCGCTGACGCAAGCGCAAACGCGTCCTGGTCGTACGCCAGGCGCTACGCCGAAAGCATCGCATGACTGGGTCGATCGCGATGAGGACGAAGCCGATGTGACGGCGAACAGTACCGCCAGTGCGCCGACCATGCGGTATGCCGCACCGATGACAGCGTCGCCAGACACCTCGCTGCCCACCGCTATGAGCCAAAGCAGCTATTTGCCTCCCTCCTCGTCGCAGGGACATGGCAGTCGCCTCTCTACGACTTTCACGAACGCCTCACGGCCGACCAGTATGCCACCAAGCATCTCTGCCTCGAGTTTTCGTTCCAAAAATGTGTCCAATACCAGTTTGCCCCGGCCTACCTTTGTTAAGCTGGACGCTGATCGTACGTCGCCTGCGCCCTATGCGCACGGTTTAGTGGCGTCTGCGTCGCAGGACAAGCTGGAAAAGAGTGCACGCCAGCAAGAGGCGCAGGAGCGTGGGCAGGCACTGTTGCATGTGCCGCCCAAACCACCACCTCCCCAGGCCGGACTCATGGGTGCGATTCATTCGCGCGAGCGGCGTGTCCCGCAAGGGGAACGAGATATGCGCGCGCGGCCCCTTTCGGGGGCGAGTACCCCTCGTTCACAGCAAAGTGTTCTATCTCACATCTCCTCTGCGCAGCAGCAGCAGCAGCAACAGCAGATGCTCATGAACATGTACTACTGGCAGCAGCAGCAGCAAATGATGATGATGATGGGGATGATGCCGCCTACCATGTCGCGCGAGGCGATGTATGCTCAGCAACAGGCAATGCAAGCAGCGCAACAAGCCTATTACCAGGCATATGCACAGCATGCGATCCCGCCTTTCTCGTCCTCGGCCATGGCGGGGGGTATGCCTCCCATGCCGTACCCACCGGCCCAAGGCGGGACAGATATGCTGGCCTCCCTATCGACCCCGGGCCATAGTTCGTCTGTGAGGGACAGCTATATCGCCCCAGTACGCCGATCGATGCAGTTTGAGCCGTCCAGTGGCCATGCGTCGCGCACCGATACCCCTCGATCAACGTATGGTCCTCGCGCATACAAACCATAACTATTGAGTGTACAGAACCCTACTAGACCTACCTATAGATTCGCACACTACATTCTTTCATGGCTATTTTTTTTTATCGTACATCTCCATTATTTTTTCCATGATGACCGAAGGATAAGCCCCTGGCATCACAGGCACCACAATCGTATCTGTTTCTTCTCGTGGATCCGGCACTTCCAACGTCTGAAGCTGAGAGGCTAACATGTCCGCCTTCATAAAATGACCGACCCGATGCTCCAGCCGCTGTTGTAGTTCGGTGGCATCCAAGTCCATATACACAAAGAGGACCTGCATGACAGACGAGGCGCGCAGGATGTCGCGATAAACACGACGTAACGCCGAACAGGCCACCACTACTGAACTTGACGGGCTTTGTGCACACAGCTTCTCAGCTTCTACTCGGACACGATCCAGCCATGGCCATCGATCTTCATCGGTCAACGGAATGCTCTGTCGTAGTTTCTCCAGCGCTTCGGGTGCATGCACGTCATCTGCGTCGAGGAAAGGGGCCTGCCATTTCTCTGCCAATGCCATTCCCATCGTCGTTTTCCCTGAGCCGGCCACCCCCTTCTGGTAAGATGTTTGAATACCACGTACCATGATCACCCAACAGGTACGTCCCGGAACTGAACATGGCTCGTGCACCATCCTCTCTGGTGTACACTCTCCATCCATGCACCCCACCGCGCGAATGCAATTGCCGAGCACGTGATGATATATATTAAGCTCAAATGTATTTTTCTACAAAAGTCAGGGCGTCTTGGCAAATGCCCATTTGTGGAGAGACATGTACATTGACGTGTTTGTGGAGGGGGTATGGAGAAAAGAAAGCGCACGTGCCATATTTTTTTGCTCATAGTGACTCCTTCTCCGATAGGCTTGGCGCAGGTGCGTCATCCATGGATGTAAACGTGCGCTGCAGAGATAACGAATTCTGAATCTCTGCATAAATGTTGGCTTGGCTCAGAAGCGTCTGCCATGATACGCTAGAGTCCTCTTCGGTTTGAGGTGCACATAGAACTAGTAGGGGCGTATCATGTACGGCATCGCGTTTCCAGTTTGCTCCCTCCGATCGCATGGAGTCCATATCAGTTTCTTCTTCCGTAGAGAATTCTTGGTCCATGGCATCCTCTGACAGCGCATGACGTGACACAGACTGGCGCAAAGCAGATACTTCCACAGGCACAGACGAGTTGCTGTTGTTGGTAAAGGACTGATGGCGCGATCCTTGCCGCGATACGCGCGAACTTGGTCCACGACGTAACCGCTGTTTCTCTTGACCATGTAGGCTAGGAATGCGGACCGAAGCTACTACAATGCGTCCATACTCACATACAACAAGCACCGGAGGGCCTAGGTCGGCATCTCCAGCATCACCTTCAGGGCTCGATATGGCGCATTCTTCCAAGTCGGACGTGCCACCCGTCCCCATACCGCGTTGCCAAGTGGCACCATTTCTGTGAAGACCCATATCCCGAGCTACCATGGCATCTAGTCGTCGAGTAAGATTCCGTTCTGGCGACGTAAGGCGACGGCGAGATGAGCGTAGCTTATCGTTCGCATGGGTATGTTGTTCTCGCCAAGAAGCCGTTGCCACAGCAGCTAAACGACGGGCGTAATCTTCCGGGCTAGTCAGTGATACAGGAAGATCGTTCATGAGACCATGCTGGTCGTTCAGCTGCACGGGCAACGCGTCTTTACTGGCATAGGCATAAATATCCGATGATTGCTTGTTCACCAACAAAGCAGTATGTGCTCCTCCAACATCCACATCATCCCCTATCAATGCATGCAATTGATCTACAATGTTCGATAGACGCAACATGTAGGGTCAGTATGGGAGATGGTTCTTCTTAGACGTTGGACAGCGTGCGTAGGCAAAATCTTCGCAGAAACTCTAGATTGATAAGCGTTACAGTCTAAAAGCCAAAGTACGCGGCTGTCGGCCCTCGGCAAGGGATTGTAGAGGCCAAGCCTGACGTATATCGGTCACACCGTAAGCTCTGTTCGGTTCCACATACTGATTGGCCGAAAAGGAAGAGATTGGCGGCTTTAATGCATCTTGCTTACTTGATGAACCTGCATGGTGACACTCAGAAGGTGATATGTCCACGTGCTTGGACCCAACGCTGGAGGGGCATTTGGTGCCAAAGGCGCACTACGCCCCTCCCAAGTACTCAACAAGCTATCAGTGGGATACTAGGTTTCAAAACTAGCTCTTGTACAAACACAGGCTATCAAACTAAGGCCAAACGTATCAGGTTCATACAGAGTCGTTGGTGAGCTGGTGTGGTCGTGTTTATCGCAATTGTGTTCTAGGTTTTGTAACTTTTTTTCTAAAGGATAGACCTTGTTGCGCTTGGATCACTCTTCATCCCTACCTCTACTAAAGCAACTCACTTTCCTTACTTTCAATATGGCTGCTTCTGCAGTAGCTAGTGCACAGGATCATAATGCTGCTGCCAATGTATCACGATCCAGTGTGAATCCTACCTGCGATTCAGCTACCTTGTTGGGGCGTACGTCCGAAGCTTCGGCCACAGTAAATGCACGAGATTCCACGGCTTCGAACAAGAGTGAAAACCGTTCTGATAATAACTCCAACCAGCGTGGAAACTCAAATAACAAATTTCGATGCCGTGTTGCCATGGCTTGCGTGCATTGCAGGCATCGTAAAATTCGTTGCGACGGAGCCCAGCCTTCTTGTTATACTTGCACACGTTTGCAGCGAAAGTGTGAATATGAGCGTGTGTCTGAGCAAGACAACCTGTTATCGCGCGAGCGTAAGAGGTTAAGTCGTGAGCGCAAGGCTGCTAGGCTGGCTGCCTCTGCTACAGCCAACAGCTCCGCTCAACCGAACAATGCGCAACGTTCTCAAGACGATAAAAAGGCTATTTCTATGCCGCAGGTTCCTTTGACATCTTCGAAGGCGGCACAGCAGCCCACATTCCCCATTGCAGTGTCAGGTTTGGGCGTGAATGCCACGCCTACGGAGGTGGCGCCCGCTTTAATTCAAGCGCCTACTGAGGCGGCGATGACCGCTGCCTGGACGAATGCAGCGTCGACAAATACCATTGTGCCCAGCACAAAAGAACTTATGCCCTGGGTCATGTCTTCGTCATTTTCGTCGCAGGATGCAGCATCTTTGGCCACAGTTTCGATGCCTCCCTCTACAGAACCGATCCTATCTCTGCGATCCTCTGCAGATCCTAGTTTGTTCGAAATGGGCACCTCGTTGCCCTCAAAGAATGAGTCTCCGTTGTCACCGACAGTGCCTTGGGCGGACGGAACTTTATCGCCATCGGAGCCGCCGTTTGGTAGCGAAGTTGGTTCCACGTTGTCAACCATGTCAGCTGGCTCTCTTTCTTCGGAAGCCACTTTGGTGGACCCACTTGAAGTGAACACCACTTTGGAAACGCCGTTGAAGCTATTCAGCGATCAGCAGCTGCCAAGTGCCATTTCCACCACTCCTTCCTCTGTCGATACCCAACCTGTCAAGGATACCACAGCGAGTGCTGCCGGCACAAATATGCCGATGGGTATCTCTCCTCTTTCGCCCCAGCTTGCACCACCGTCATTTGATACTCTGGAGCCTAGTATGCAGCAGGGTGATTTGGACCATGACGCTGATGGTCTAGTGGCTGGCTTGGGATTGTACAGCTCGTCAGTGCCTGTGAGCTCAGGTCCTGGATTTCTGAATGATCTAGAGCCCAGCAGTCTTCCCATTCTTTCATCCTGGGCGCAGCCAACATTTTCAGCCTAGTGAATCGTTTTTATCTCTCCTTGGTTTTGTTTCCAGCCCCACCCTTGATCGCATATTACGGGATGGCAGAGAAGCAGAAGGCCGCAAGTTGCTTGTCTGTCTGCTTGCCGTGGGCTAGCATGTTGGATCACATCTGCTCTCTGTCAACTCTACCTTTTGCGTAGTGACTTGGGAAATGGTATATATACTTTATGGAAACACAGATACGGACATACCATTTTCACAAAGTTTCGCACAGCTTTGACTAGACCGATACTAGGACGTTGATTCCTTTTTGTACGTGGTAAGCTAAGCATCTGCTAGCTGTTGATAGGAAATCTAAATGTACTACTCGATTCCCAGTGTGACTACGCCATAGCGTTTGGCCATGTAGCCGGCCCGCTGGTCTCGCCCAACGACACTTGGCACCAACGGTCCTGAATCCATAAGACGGACCAAGTTCCCTCTTGCGTGGTAGGGATGCGGTACTCCCTATCGTACCACTGATCCACGGTATGTGTCTCCAAGACCTTGGGCCGCATATGTAGGTCCACAGGCTCTGTGCGCTGATAGGTAAACGCAAAGGGAGGCTCGCCAGACAAGTGGAACGCGATTTCAGCCTGACCGCCTTGCCGGAGCGACTCAATGGTATGGGCTCCCGCAGAGACGTGGGCACTTGGCAGCGCATGAATCTTGCATGTCAAGGGTTCAGTGGTATGACGGCATGCATTGGATTCGTGCACAGCTCCTAGCACCTCTAGCACACCAGGACGATCCGCCATACGCGTAAATTCAGCTTGACGGGATGTCAGCTGCGACATCTTACCGTTGAACGCGTATTGCACTGTCCATGGCGATGTGCCTTGCAAGATAAAGTCGATGCGTTCGCCCACACAGTAGTCTGTGCGCGCTGTAGCAGGCACGACGCCTGCACTTTCCACGACTTGAATCGGCACCGTCAAATCCGGCTGCTCTTGCACGCAGTACGCATCCTCAACACGCTCCACATGCAAGGCCCATCGACCGGAGGCTACAATCGGCTCCATCATCTGCACTTGCAGCGTGTGAGAGCGGGTTTGTTGGGTAAAGCGGATTGGTTTTGCATTGCCTTCAATTTGCGTTGGCATGAGTACCACGGATACGACAAATGGCGGAGTGCCCTGCAGCTGCCATGTTGGTCCTGCTTCCAAGACGCCGCCGACACACGCCATGAAAGGTTTGGTTTGCTTCACAGTACTGATAGAGGGGCGCGGCCACACTCCATGTTCGAGGCGCGAGGTAGAAGCCGCGTGTGTCCGTCCATAATAGGCATCGCCCAGCTCGACCAATTCGTAGGTATGCCACCCAGGCACACTGGTATCCAGTGTCAGAGTCACTTCGGCTTCTGTCGTCAAGAGCGAGTGCTTTGTCACCTGAACAGGCCCTTGCAACGAGCCTGGCCAGCGATGGATGTATGTCACATCCACAGGCGGTTGGCCGGTTGTGTGCAACAGGGCTTGGTACGGCGTCGATTGACAAACAGGCGGCAGCAAAACACTGCCATTCGTCTGTACTTGGCCAGCGAACGACGCATGAGGACGTGGTCGGACCACTACCTCGGCCGTGTTCTCTGCCAATACTGTGCCCTGGCAGTACGCATCACGTACACTTGTCAAGACATAGATGCCTGGGCCAGGGAGTAGGAGCGATTCGTTGGCATCGTGCAACGTAGCTACACCTTCTTCTGCCTGTGCAGGATCGTCACTGATCATCTTGTAGGTTACCTGCCATGGCCTTGTGCCCTCGAGACGTAGAGGCATGTGCGCCGTCTCATGCTCATGCACGACGGCATGCGTCCGTGCAAACGCAATTGCTGCCTTCGATTGGTGCACATCGATACGCAAGTCGCGCGTCGCCAAACGGCGCTCACACCCCTTTCCATCACGGAGGCGCAGCAGCGAGACCGTAGCTCGACCATGGTGCTGAAGAACATCGGCTGGCACTTCGAGAGGCAGCTTTACACGGCCTGCCACATCTTGTGTCACAGTGTGCTCTTGCACAGCCCCATTGGCGGCACCACGAATGGCATACGTCAGCTCGTACGGCCCTGTACCACTGAAGAGGACATCGGCTACAGCATCAGCCTTACCACAGCTGCTCACCACGAGGTCCTTGTCCTTGCCACCACGCTGCGTACCAACAAATTCAGCTGTGGCCATTGGATGAACATGCTGCGTAAAGGTGGGGCCATCCAGGGGAACCCCGCGGTAGTTCGCATCGTCCAGAGACAGGAACCGATAGGTAATTGCCCCCTCGGTATTCGGCCAGAACTCGAGCTCATCCCGCGTCTGCGCCTGTACTACGCGTACATGACGCTGAGGTGCCTGGCCTGCACGCTGTATCTCGTACGACAATCGGAACGGCGGCTCACCTTCCAGCACAGAAAGCGCCTTCACACCCACAGTGCCTGCGCATGGGTCATTAATACTCTCAAAGTGGATCACAGCCGACGGAGGGGGAACATCAATCACATCACAGGTCCATGGCGCCTGCACGGCGCCACGGCAGTGCGTTGACGTGAGGCCATGCAAGGCATACGTGCCTGGCTGTGTCACACGCCACCGGTGTTCCCCAGGTGCGAGGGATACGCGCTTGTCCCATGCGTCTTTCGATGACAAAGGTGTAGGCAGGGTCGCATTTGTATCGGGGGCATACGCAATATGCGCCTCCCATTGCGAGGGCAGTGCATTGCGCGGCGCCTGGGCTTCCATCGGCGTGATATGCAGACGTAGATCCAGCGGTGGGCCATGTCGCAAGAGCTTCAAAGGTCGCCCAGGTACACATTGGGATGCATCCCAGCGGGCCTGCGCGCGTGCATGCACTTGCATGGTGACCTCTGACTCCAACTTGGCCTGGTTTCCACACGCGTCGCGAATGCGAAGCAGGCGCAATGCTTGCGTACCTGGCCGTGCAAAGTTCAATGAAATGGTAGCGTTATGAGCGGAGGGCGCATCGTGCGTGAGGGTACGACTTGTGGTTTGGCCATCGTGTGTCCATTCGTAGTCCAAGTGCAGAGGTGGTGTGCCTTGCATCGAGACTTTCGCCATGCCCTCATCATGAGGACATGCATCCGTAGGCCACGCCACAACATGCGCCGTAGGGCAAGCGACCAACTCCATCGACTCGGACATGATCTGTGCTGCATGGCCGTTCTTGTCTAGCACTGACACGAGTCGCACTCGGCCCTGTTGTGATACACGCAGATAGTGCACCGTCTCTAATAGCTGGGATTTCTGTTTCTTGTTTTTCTTAGCGCGTTGCTTGGCTGCTTTGCGTGCACGTTTACGCTCCGCTAACGACATGGCACGCGCGCCTCGAGGCACATCAGGTTGTGTGTCAGACGGTGCGGTATGGGTCATGGGGCTGGTCTTGGGGTGCTTGACGACATGCTCAGTGGTTTCGCCACTCACAAAATCCTGCACTTCATAGGTAATCTGAGCAGGGACCGTCTCATTAAAGAGGATGGGGATGAGGACCTCGGGCGACGAAGGCCCGATGCACATACACGACGAGGCCGGCGCCATACGTGCCGTACCTGGCGGCACAATATGGATGGTGTGTTGGCCTGAGATATACGTTTGTGGATGAATGGTATTCTGCCAACGTACACGTCGCTCGCCCACACTCCAAGCGGCAGGGCCTGGCCATAGCGCAGCCCACATGGACCAAGTCTCACTCGTCCCCAGCAATGCAATGTCCATAGAAAGGAGTACCGCAAAGACAGCCAGGTAGTGCCAAAGTGTCCATGGCCGCGTAGGACGTGCAGAGGAGGCGGTGGAAGCGGCTGGGGCCATAGAGGGACGGCGCCCGGGAATGGCAAGCCAATACAACCCGTAGCACAGAGTAAAATCAAGCAGACATGCAACAAACAATGAGCTAGGGTCGCACCAGTCTAGCCATCCGCGTGAGGCTGGTACAGAGCCCCAGCCATAGGCAGACCATATACGAGAAAGCTTCCATAGCTGGACGCTGGCAAAGAAGACCACAGCGTAAAATCGCTGCGTGGGTGCATCGATCATCGAGAGGGGGATCCGCGGCGCACGTTCCTCACGCACACGACGAGGCCCACTCTTCGCACCATCGCGTGGTGCCGACATGTTGCTACCAGCTCCGTCACACACACGCACAGGACGATGCGCTCGATCGTTTCACGCGCCTGTGTGCGACGGTGCGGTGCGGCGCGTCGTTGCCGTCCACCCACGCCCATCACGTGATAATGGAGGCGAAGAAGGTGGACATCGTACCTCCATTCTCCCTTCCTCCTTGTGGTATTGGCTGGGGACAGTCTACCTCACGATGGCGGTCAAGTCCAAGGCACGGTACGTACGAACGTATTTGCTCTAATGCTAGCGTCGTAATTGCGCGGCTGTTATCAACGGCTGGCACAGGCTACATGTACACGACACGCCGCCTCCGCGTTGCCGAGCGGCTGAGCATGATGAAATACGATCCAATTGGTACGTCTATGCTACTGTGCGCGGCTTACGCAAAGTGAAACGTCATGTTCTTTTTAAAGAAGTCAAGGGAAGCAAGTAGCTGCTCTATATACCTACAGATTTTCGAAAAAGTCCAAATCTGCATGTGTCAACGTGCCGCCAGTGCTGGTGGGTTTCGACGGCGGTACTTTCGTAATGGTGGATGAGGGTGTGGGGGTGGTCATGGGTGGGGATGAGCTTAGCAAGTCCATATCCGCCATCGGCTTCCGGGCGTGCGATGCCCGTCCACCAGGCGGTGGAGCAGATAGGATGGTCGAAGTGGGTCGTGGCGCATCTGTGTATGTTGGTATCTTGGGTTCGTGGTCGGAATATCGAAGTCCCAATGGCACATCGTCGTCATCGACATTGCCCGTATACGTTTGCATTTCTCCAAATTCATCTGTATCATCCTCCGGGTCGTAGTAATAAGGATCATGACGCACAGGGGAAGCACGTGTAGAGGCTTCGATTTGCTCGACGTCGTAGGGTTCGGGTGGGTCGTAGGCATAGCGTGGATCTGGATCGTAGGCTGTACCATCGTACCGCCGCATGTGCGTAGAAGCGGTTGGCGCCTTGCTAGGTTTTTTCGAGGTTGCCGCATCGAGCCACGATAAATCGTCCGCATTCAACGTAGGTTCGGTGGGCTCTATTGCGTGGGCGGGAGGAGGGCGGCTGGGCGAGCGTGCACGTGTGGGTGTCTGTGAGGGCGAGGTCGTAGCGGAGCTAGATCCACGCTTGAAGAGACCAGCTAGGCGGCTCGTAGCATTTGATTTTGGCTTATCGACCTTTTTCCAGCCTTGCTTTTGCTCAGCCTCCGCCGACGCCTTGGCTTCTTGGGCCGCGGTGGCGCGTGATCGCCGCCATTCTGAGACCGCAGCACCGAGACGTGAGAAAGTAGATGCAGGTGCCGCAGACGTCGTATCGGTTGTAGAAGCTGCAGCCTCGTTAGTGTTAGTGGCAGTCGGCGTAGGTAGCGATGCCACGGTTGTCGTCGGATCTTGTCCCTGCTCTGTAGCCTCTGAGTGAGCCGGCTCTGTATCGTCCGACTGTGAGACATTGTCTTCCTCTTCCCTGCGTTTCTCGTCTGTCCATGCCGTCTGCATAGTCGTGCCTCCTCCCCATACATTGTCGTGCATCGTCATCGAGGCTGATGCCAGCGAGGCGAGTTGTGCATCGACGGCCGTCGTAGTAGGCAACGACTCTGTTACATGCCATCCCACGCTCTCCATCGCAGAACGTGCGCCCCATGGATCGACAGTTGTGTCTACGATCGGCGCTGATACCGCCTCGGGCTCTGGCTCTGGCTCTGGCGCAGGTACAGTGGCAGGTGAGGTCGGCTGTGGCTTGGCTGTGATTGAGGTATCCTGGGGTGCGCCCCATGGATCCAAATCTAACCCGGCCGTTGTGACCATAGCAAGGGTGTCAGTAGGACCCTCTTCATGGAGTTTCACAGGCAATGTTGCCGTGGGGGCCGGCGCTGCGTCGTCCCAGGCACTCGCCCACGGATCCATGCGGTATCAAGCAGGTCCACAGGGCCGCATCCACTCCCCCCTCAGTATCACGTGACGAAAAAGAAGACCTCGGTGTCGTCTTGCGGCTCGGCTCATCGTCGTCGATGTCGGTCCTCGCGCGGCGTATGCAGGGCTTGTTTGTAGCCCGCTCTCGCGTGGCTAGGAATGCTGCGCGCCCTATATACTCGGCTGTGCGTGGGGTAGCCACTACGACCGTGGAGACGCCTGTGGCTACTGACGCTGTTGTACCACCTACTACGCCGCGAGTCTCGGAGCCTGCGCGTGCACGGCAATTGCTGCGATGGCTCTGGCTCTCGCCATCGAAGCGTCAGGAGCTGGAAGAATACGTGACGGACCCAGCGCAAGCTGCGATGCCGTCCTGGTTCGCTTCCGCATACGACGAGGCCCGTCAATATCGCACAGCACGTTCGCGGCGATGGCTTCCTTCGTCGGAGCGTGTAGGTGGCGATGTGTCAGCCTTTTTGGAACGTGAATGCGAGAAGATGCGCTCTTCGCTGGAGCAGGAGCAAGGTATCGTATCCCTGGCCATGTGGGATGCGATGGATGCCGATGAACAGGCGGACGTGGTATTGCAGCCGATGTGGGCCTCTATGACGCCTGACGAGCGCGAGCAGGCGCTAGTGCGCGTCACATATGAATGTGCACGTCGCCTTGGCTGGCGATCTGGCTTTTCGTCGGGCTACCCTGGCGCTGCCGTGCCCAAGGCGCTGCGGGAACAAGGCACGCGCAAGACGGCAGCGCGCCGTGCTCTGCAGCAGCAGGAAGAAACGCGTGCGTGGGATGCCTGGCAAGCCATGACGCCCGAAGAGCGTCGCGTGGAGTTTGATACCGCATGGCGTCTGCGTGATCGTTCGGTGGTGTACATTGACGATGCGCCTACGACGCGTCTGCTGGGTGCGACGGCGCCGCGTTGGTACGCACAGCCCCAGCGTGCTGGTACGTTGACGTTCCTTCCGAATGTCAGTGTGCGTCTGGTACGCAACCATACGCCACGGGGCCAGGCGTACGATGTGTGGAAGGCGACGTTCCGTGTGCCACTCTCGATGCACAAGCATATGCTGCGTTCGTACCTGCTAGCTGTGTACGGTCTGCGCACGACGTGGGCCCGCTCGATGGTCTACCGCTCGCGTACAGTGTTCAGTGCGAAGAAGATGCGTCGTGTGGTCGGCCGTGATCGCACGTTCAAGAAGATTGAGGTGGGCTTGCTTGAGCCGTTTGTGTTCCCTGGCCTCACCAAAGACTTTTTGCGCTCGCACCTGTTCAGCCAGGAGATGATGTACGAGGAGCATCGTCTGCTACTCAAGATGACGAAGGGCCGCCGCTGGCGTAGCCACAAGACGGTGCGTGACCTCTCTCGTGCGATGGATCGCAACTGGGAGGCCCAGAGTGCCGGTGCGCCCGATGAGGCGAGCTCAGGCAAGCCTAGTGCGCAGCTCATGGTGCGCAAGCGCTCGGTGCCTACGGCGCGCCACAACAACATTCTCTCGGCCATTGCTGAGCGTCGTGCGGAGCGTGCAGCCCGCGTCCAAAAGTTCTTGGATGAGAAGCGCTCGTCGTCCTCGTCTTCGTCGTAGTGTCGCATTGATGGATATATAGCACTACCCTTCGAATCCATGTCCTATTCTATTCTACATCAAAAGCCCCGGAGTCCGAGAATATGTCGTACATCACTGGCGTATCGTAGCCCGTCTAGCATGGGAAGCAAGTCGAGCAATGCTTCGTCGTTGGGGTCGTGTGTCCATCCTTCGACAGGAATGCCATTCGCTTCTTGCAGCATGTAGCTCATGGGCGAGTTATCGACCAGGCATACACGGCTCAAATCCCGCTCGACCACTTCCAAATTTTTCAGGTAGGATCCGTTACGTAGTGTACACGACTCGCGGAAAAGACGCCCACTAATCAGCCCTTCCCCGCCGTCGAGCCAGTCGATCACAGGGTCGGCATATTCTTTCATGGACGCCGTAAATATCACCACTTGGTACCAAGCGGCTACTTTGCGGAGGAAATAATCGACCCAGGGCCGTTTGTAGACTTGGTAACAGACTCTCCGCCCGTCAATCCGCACTTCAATGGTACGCAGCTGCAAGCGCGCATGCGGAGGTATCGTGGAGCCCAGGCCAAGGATATTGAGAAGACCATTGGTCAGCCGTACACTGACCTGGTTCTGTGCGTGAAATAGGCCCCACCCAGGCGTGGGGCTCAGGGTAGAATGGATCAACGTCTCGTCAAGATCGAGGACGAGCACTTTGGGTGTCTGCTGAATCACACTCGAGACGCCACGCGGCACACTTGCGCGCGACGAGCGGTCCAAAGACACGGACATGGTACTATCTTGACTCCGCCCACGTGCATGTGGACGGCTCTGTGTCGGAGAGAGGGCCTCCTGCCGCTCCTTCTCCGCATGTCGTCGGTGGACAAGCGCTTCGACCGTCGGCAGCGCACTCGCCTGCGCCTTCTCCGACGTGTCTGTGGGCATATCTCACGCCGTATGCGTCTGCCACGACGGAGATGCGCTGCGCCGGAATCCCTTGCGCACACAAGGAGGAGATCACAGTGCCGCGCCGTGCAATGGTGGACGTGCACCCAAAAAAGCGGCGGCGTGCCACCGCCAACGGGTCTCGGCCCCTTATGGCATCGACCTCCACACCGCAAACTTTGCGCACGTTGCATGTCGCCGGGGAATTATGTCGGCGCTGCTATGGCTCCACCTCCACTGGACGCGGTGCGAAGGTGCGGTGTTGTGTCGCGTACGTAGGCAACAGGCAGGCGTCTTTTCTCCCCCACCCCTGACGCGTGTGGACGTGTGCGATGCCCATGCAGGGCCCAACATCTTCCACAGGGCAGATGTACCCTACTGTCCTGGGCTACCAAATTGTACAGCTTCTAGGCGGTGGCGGATTCTCACGGTACGTAATGTCCCCTTCCCCTCACACGTAGCGTGTTTCGCGCCGTGAACCCTTCGTCGTCGGCCCACCCTCAGGCAGCTGTCAAAGTGGTATCCTATGTATCCACCAGCAACAAGCAGCCTATAGACCGACGTGCGCTTCAAAAAGAAGTGCAAATTCACAGTATTTTGAAGCACAAAAACGTGCTGGCGTTTCTAGGCTCGGTCGAGTATGCAGTCGGGTCTTCGGCGCCCAGCAACTATGTACGTGGCCTCTACATCCTCCTTGAGCTATGTGCAGGCGGCGATTTGTTTGACAAGATTGGTACGTTTCTCACTTCTGACATGTAGCGCCTGATGTCGGTGTCGACGAAGACTTGGCGCATTTCTACTTTACGCAGCTCATGGCCGGCTTGGTGTACATCCACGGCCAGGGCGTGACACATCGCGATATCAAGCCCGAAAATATGCTGCTGGATGCGCAGGGCAACTTGAAAATCGCCGATTTTGGATTGTGCAGTGTGTACAAGTACAAAGGCAAAGAACGAACGCTGCATGGTACGTGTGGCAGTCTGCCCTACATTGCCCCGGAAATGAATGGACGGCCGTATCAAGGCGAACCAGTGGACGTATGGAGCAGCGGTGTGGTCCTTTTTGCTATGCTGGTCGGGAACACCCCATGGGATGAACCTACACGGCGTAGCCCAGAGTACACAGCGTACCTCTCCGGCGAACTATTCCGCGTCGATCCATGGACACGTTTGAGTGGCGATACGCTCTCTCTTCTCCGAAAGATGATGCATCCTGATCCAGCCAAACGTATTACCCTCGCGCAAATTCAGCGCCATCGATGGTTTACACGGCCCAACAGTCTGCTCACGTCCGGCAAGTGCAACGATCCTGTGAGTTTGGCGGAACGTCTTCTGTACGGTCTCATGGTCTCAGGTGATATGCATGTATCATTGCACAGCGACGGTCAGCGTGCCCCTGTGCCTGAAAACATCTCGTTGACGCAGCCTGACGCCTTAGCCTCGCGATCGTCGTTGGCATGGGGTGCCGATGATACCATGCCGTCGTCGACTGCCCAGCCAGCGTTGGGCGCACGACGCAGGCTCATGACAACATCGCAAGTGCCTGGACGCACGCGTGATCTCAGCACACAGAGTGACGATATGGGCGGCGAGTTCACGCAGGCGTTAGGCTACTTTACACAGTCGTCAGCAGCGCCGATGGGAATGGTTTTGCAGCTTACACGTTTCTACACCGCCGCTGATCCCGCGTCGATGGCGCACATACTATCGCAAGCGCTGCATAAACAAAAAGCCCAGTTCCATGTGGATGCTATGGGCGATGATCCAGATTGGATGGATGACGTTGAGGACGTCGAAGCGACGTCAACTGCTTCCTCGTCCGGACCAGATACCCTACGACATGCACATGGTGTACGCATCCGCCTCGGCCTCATGGATCGACGCAAGTGTGCATTGAAGGGAGAAATTCGTATGGAGCGCGTGGCAGAGCTGCCATCGGATTTGGGCGACGCTGCAGGGAAGCCTGGCAGCTTTGTACTGATGCGGCGTAGCAAGGGCAACCCGCTCGAATGGCGCCGTCTCTTCCGCGACTTATGCCGCGACCCAGATGTGCGTACCAACATAGCCATGCCTAGTTCTATGTAAACTACCCAGTTTCATCCCAACGAGTCTCTGGATGGGCAAGGAACGCATCGTATGCCTCGCGGTGGAAGAGACTGAGCTCTGTCTCGTTTTGTACGCCCAGGTCTGAAAGCGGCGTAGGAGCATTCGAATCCAAGATCCACTCTGGATGATCCAGGTTGATAATCAGGTTGGTCGTCTTGGCCCCATGCGCTTGTGTGTAGAGCTTCAGTGTGTCTGTGATGAGCCCCAATGGTAACCTACCTAGCGAGTTGATCACATTGCGGTACGCCTTAAACGCTGGCTGCTTGGCCACCTCTGTCGAGTAAGTCGTCATATACGTACCCTGCTTGCATCGATCAATCAGTGTCGCAGCCGTGAGCTGCGTCAGGTCCACATCTTTGAGAACGAGTGCCTTCATCGTGCGGTACTCGAAATTCTTAATAATGCGCACGGTGATGATCGCATTGGTCACAGGACGAGCTAGGTTCGTTACTGTATTATCAAGGAAATCCGTCTGCGGGGCGTAGGGATGGTTGATATAGCCATCGCCACGCGGTGCATCTGCACTCATGTTGGAAGACCACTAGGAAACCTATATGCAACAATTATGAGGGGGGGGCACCAGCTGGAGCCCGATCGCCCGATGCTGTGCCCATCGCCAAGTCCAGCACGCGCAAGATCAGGGCCAAGTGGAGATCGAGTGCGACCACAGGATCCGTGACCAGGGAATGAACCGTCGTGAAAGCATCCGCCACGGCTTGCTTCCCGCCTAGACCCAGCGCATAGGCGGCTTGCGGTGGAACGTAGCTTAGCACAATCTTGCGGGCCTCGTCTGCACGCGCCCGTGCCTCAGTGGGTGTACGAGGCGGAGCAGTCTCCGTGTTCCATACGTCTTCCGGCCACAAGGATGTACGAATCAATTCGAGCCAAGACACTTGGGACTGCAGCGAGAGCATACTAGAGAAGTAGGACAACAAATTGGATGCAGTTCCGATGTATGTAGTACGCAGAAACTGCTCCAACACACGTAGCATACCGCGTCGCAACGTCCATGCCTCGTTCATATTCAGCGCTTCTCGCGTCACGGCAAAGACGGCCGTAAGAAGTGCATTGACATCTTGGGGGGAAGGAAGGTCTTCCTGGTCAGTAGACGGCTTAGAAGGGGCGCGCGTGGTCGTTTCCGGCGTTGGTGCTTTCTCAGCTGTCGGCTCCGCATCGGGTAGGGAAGGCAAGGTAGAGGAGGTGCCAGTCGTAGGCTCTGCACGATCCACACTCGACTTGGACTGAGACCTGGGCGGTACTGCCGGGGCTTCCTGAGAACGTGGCGGGGGCGGGGGCGCGGGCGCGGGCGCGGGCGCGGGAACCACAGGCACACTTGGCTTCTCACTGCTCTGGCCGTTACGCACAACCCGGTCCGCGGAGGGGCGGCGTGTCTCACTCAAATCAGGACGCAATCCAAAGATACGACTGGCGCGAGAGGGCGTCGCAGCAATATGACCCACCCCTTTCCGACCAATGTCTGCGGCGCCTACAATGCTGCTCGTGAGCGTACGGCTCAAATTCGACATAAGTACATTGTTGCGCTTAGCATCCTCGTCACCAATCCGCTTTTTATCGAGGAACCGCTGGACAGCTTGTGTTGAGCTAAACCAGGTCATGCCATCGTCACTCGGTAGGAAGAGCGTTTGCAAGTACACCTGAATGGCTTGGCATACCGCTGGGCTAGCCATTTGTTTCACAGCCGGCAAATGAGGCGGTGCACTCATACCAGAACCAGGCGGACGTTTTTCGTACATACGCTCCAACTCGGACTGCAGCGTTTCCAGTTGCGCCCACGTACGAAGAACGGCATAACCACCCATACCATCTTCTCTTGATGATTCCATCGTAATGAGGAATTGAAGTGTCGTGGTATCCACAGGTCGGTCATGCTCAGCATTGGGGCTCACGTCGACCACTGTGATGGTTCGAGGAGCCTCTACCACTGCTGCACGCTGAGCACTTCGGCGTGGCTCATACGGGGACGACGTGGCTGTAACAGAGGAGGCAGGTTGTGATGGCTTGGCCGTGTCCTTGAGCGAGGCTAGGTACGCGTTGTACAATTGCTGCAAACGTTGAGTTAACGAGCGACGTAAGGGAGCCATATCGTCCGTGGTGACCTTGTCCTTGTCTAAGATACTTGACATGGCGTCCAAAAGAGGCTGCGTGGGTGGGCCGGACGGTAGCATCGTCTTGGTCGTCTGCAAGACAGCATGCACATCGCTTGTGTACAAATCCCAGGTGCTTGAAGCATGTGACATGGACGAGTCGAGTGCGACCAAATTGGCATGCAATTGCAAAAGGACCGCTCCTTCCCTGGGTTGTGCGCCATGTTCTTCCCCCGTAAGGTACGTATACCACTGATCGTACACGTCTGAGTCGCGTTGCATCAATACATCCTGAACATTCCGAGGCAAGCGTACCTTGTACGCCTGCTTTTCGGGCGGCACGCGACTTTGTTCGAGCGAGCGAGGCAATGCAGGTTCCTGGATGGGCGTAGGAATGTTCATTGGAAGTGCCTGTGGGTTGTCGTCCGCCCTCTCAGTCTTGGTAGGCACGATATCCTCGGCCTTGGCCTGCTGTGTAGGTGTACTATCGGCCTCCAAGGACTCGACAGAGTCGGCGAGGTGGCGCGAAGAGTCAGGATCGCGAAGCACATTAAGGATATCTTCCACATCGTGTGGCAGGGATGAAGGCATCGTAGTTGTCTCGATCCCCGCAGATGGCGAGGTAGGAGCCGGGGCGGAGGTGGACAATGTGGGCACATCGATCTTTTCGTCCATATCGCCAAGAAGATCAGGGGGTGGTCCACGGGCATCGGAAGCGGGTGACTTTGACGTGCCATCCAAATCGGACAGCAAGTCCTCTACATTGGCACTCATGGTGGGCGTAGCCACAGTAGAGGTCGAAGGCAGGGCCGTTTCCTTGGGCGTGGGCCCAGAGCCATTGGCCACGCTGGGCTCCGCAGCGGTAGGCAGCGTGCGCGTACCGTACGTCACGATGTAGCCGTTGATTACATCTGGATCACTCCAGGACTGCACTGTCTCCCATGCCTGCTTCGCCATAATTTCTGAAAGCAGGTGCACCAGCATCGGCGATGTTCGGTCTTCAGACGGCAGACTTTGAAGGAACAGAGTGGTGATGGACGTACGCAGGCTTGCGATGCGGGCTTCAGGACTGGGCCATAGGCCTTCGGAAGAAGTGCCATCTTTTTGCCCTTTCTGATTCTGGAGCGCCGTAACAAGCACAGAGAGAGCTGTGAGGGAGAGCTCCGTAGCCTATAGTTAGTGAGACACGTCGACGTACAATGGTCACGCGGCTGTACTGCTCGAGACGAAGCGCGACTTGCGCCAGCAGATGCTCCGCGCTAGCAATCGCTTCGCTCGGGAACTCGGGGTTCCCAAACGTGATCGGATCGTACCAGTACTGGATAAAGTCGCGGCGAACAAGCGTGAGGATGTGCCGCAGCTCGCCTTGCAATGGAGGCGGAAGAGTTGACAAAGTCATACGCTCCTTGGCCGGCACACGCACATGGTTCTCGCTTGATCGCGTCGCAAACGTAGATGCATAGCCGCGCAGTCCGTCTGCGGCAGATTTGTCACGCAAAGCACTGTCATCCGCCTGGAAATGCGACGGCAATGCGAATTCCAAAAAGATGCGCACCATGGGATGGCACAGAAGAAGACAAGTGAGAGCAATCACGGCCAAAAATGGCATGAGACCCATACCCAACACCACAAGGGTCAATACGACAATCGCCGCCGAGGCGATGGGCGATGTAGGCATCGACTCACTGCGCATCCCGGCGAAGTAGGTGGCTCGCGCGCACCGTACGAGCGCTCGTCCCAGACGTCGCTGCGGCGCTGCCTCCACCCTGCGAAACGCTGACAAATCGCATAGCCATCCTGGCACCCTACGCGCACGGCCGCCATCACCCGATGGGAGTGCAGGGGCTATGGCAGCTGCTACAGCCGGTGGGCCGGCCTGTCACGTACGTACACTGCACACTTACTCAAGGCTGGAGTCTCTGCAAGGAAAGCGCTTAGCGATTGATTCGTCGATTTGGCTGTACCATTTTCAAATGGCAATGCGAGATCGTGACGGAAAGATTCTGAACAATGCCCACCTTCTCGGTTTTCTATGGCGGATTTTGAAATTGCTCTTTTACGGCATTCGTCCGGTGTTTGTGTTTGATGGTGGGGCGCCTGTCCAGAAGCGGCGCACTCTCCTCCAGCGCAAGCAGAGAAAAACCATGGCTACAGATACCCTAGCACGCACTGCCGAGAAGCTCCTTGCCGCGCAGCTGCGTCAAGCAGCATTGCAACACCACAACGAGACGTCACGGCCATCTGATTCTCTAGAGGAAGGCACAGTGTACTATGACGAGGTGGGGCGTAGCAATGCGCCACCTACCTCTGGCCGTATGGCTCCACTTACGTCGAAAACCGTTCAGTCGGTCGTCAAAGCAGTGACCAAGGACCCGTATCAGTTGCCGGCTATGCCGAAAGAAGCATTGCAACTCTCTGAGCGCAAGGACTTGCGGTTTGCTACTGAATCGGAATTACGTGCCCTTATGAACTCCATTGCGCCCGAAGACCTGGATATGAATTCTGAGCTCTTTCGCAGCTTACCCCCCGAACTGCAGTATGAACTGGTTGGCGATTTGCGGGCCAAGTCGCGTGGTACATCATACAAGCGACTGCAAGATATGCTAGCGTCAGCACCTACGCCCATCGACTTTTCGCGTGCCCAAGTGGCAGGCTTGAAAACACGCAACGATCTTACACAAAAAGTCTTGACGGTGACCGATGAAATCGGGAGCGCAAACATCCAAGTGCCTCTACGTGTCGCAGGTTCACGGAATCGGGAGTACGTGCTTACGCACATCGAAGGAGGCGATGGCGGGTTTGCGTTGGGCGCGCCGGAGGCTGGCACGTCACGCGACAAGGCGATTGTGGTCGACGACGAGGACTGTAAGCCAGACTTGCAGGACGAAGAGGACTGGGATCCTTTGGAGATGGAAGAGGTGGAGATCCCCTCTGCTCCCCCCGCCTCCGATCCTGAACTGGATGCCTTGGTACATTCAGACCTGGACCCTGTCCAGCGCAAAGAACGTGCATTGGCATTTTTGAGTGTCCGTGCTGAGCAGCATCGACGTCAGAAACGCCAAGAAGCTGGTATGGATGCATGGGAAGAACGTGTACTTGGACACGTCCCTGTCGTCCCACCATCACGAGCCCTCTTCCGTGAGCCGGCAGAGGAGGAGGCAGAGGCAGAGGAAGCGGTCGCCCATGCGCCACGCCGCTCTCCCACGCCACTGCCGCTTCTTTCGAGGCCCTCGGACTCGATGGCATTGTTGCCGCCTGCGCCTTCCAGCGGCCTAGCTTCACCATCAAAAGACACTCTGCATTTGACGCCGCCCAGGAAGAGAGCAACCAGCCCGCCATCACAGGAATGGGTCAGCACACCGACGAAAGACATGCTTGGCACGTCCAAGGCTATGAGCAGTCCACCTGAAACGATCAGGAGCCTCTCGCCGGAGCCTACCTGCCCACCGAAACAGACTGATCTTAGCAGCATCGATACCCCCGCCACACCTGACGCAGTGTCAGTGAGTTCGCCGACGACACCTTCACACGCTGGCCAAGCTCCCACAGTAGATCAGCCTGCTATACCCGCCACGCCTCGTGAGAAGGATGCTTCAGTGTCGGCGTCACCAGCCTCCTCGCCATGGGCATGGTCGCCGTCGCCGGAGCCAGAACGAGTCGGCCCAGATGGATTCCCTCTTCCCTCGCTTCAAGAAACACAGGCCATCGAGGCGGAGGAAGAACAGGAATGGGCACAGTGGGATCAGGACCAGTCGCAATTTGCTTCGTTTCTAAGTACAGCTTCCGGTCGAAGTCTTCCTGATATGCAACGTGAAGTCGCAGCGGAAGTCGCAGCGCTGCGTCAGGAACATGCACGACTTCGGTCCTCGGAAGATGAAATTACGTCGCAAATGACCTCGGAAATCCAAACGATGTTGCGCATGTTTGGTCTTCCATACATCACTGCGCCGATGGAGGCGGAGGCACAATGTGCTCAACTGGCCATGCAGCAGCTCGTCGATGGGATAATTACAGACGATAGCGATGTGTTCTTGTTTGGCGGGACGCCCGTGTATCGCAACATGTTCAATAGCCGGCGAACCGTGGAATGTTATCGCCTGTCGGACATGGAACGTGAGCTTGGCCTGGATCGAGATCGGCTCATTCAGCTGGCATTCTTGCTGGGCAGCGACTACACAGAGGGCCTAACTGGCGTGGGGCCTGTATTGGCCATGGAGATCTTATCGCTGTTCCCTCCAAAGCACGCACTTGAAGATTTTCGCGCCTGGTGGAAAGATGTGCAGGTCGGCGCTGATTCCGAGCAGGCACAGTCGAGTGTCCGACGCCGTATCAAGCGTGCTCTGCGGAACAAGGTCCATCTCTCTGACTCTTGGCCCGACCCAAAAGAACGCGATGCCTATGTTCACCCGACCGTGGACGAGAGTGACGAGCCCTTTGTATGGGGCCAAGCGGATTTGGACGCTGTGCGCTCGTTCCTGGGCGAGTACTTGCACTGGTCGACGAGCAAGACAGACCAGTACGTCCTGCCAGTGATTGAGCAGCAGCGCAAGACTACTAGGCTACATCGTGTGCAGGCCACCCTTGACCAGGCTGGGTTTGTCGGTGGCCATGTCCCAGAACCTATGTCAGCACGACGCTTTGAGTCGACGCGCCTGCAGCAAGTCGTACAAAGTTTTCGTGAGCGGCAAAGAGCCGAGGAGGCATCTGCCCTACCTGCAGCCTCGAGCGTACCTATGCGCAAACGCAAGCCACGCCAGGATGAGGAAGCGTACGTCCCTCGGCCTACCAGATCGCGACGCGACGCTGGTCGTGTATCCTCGTTGAATCCCAGATCGCTGGAAGACCTATGAGACAGCTATTCCTTACTCGTCCTGCTCCGAGCGCGCCTACTTGGTTAGTACATAGCGCCTTCTCATGTATACATACAGCTGCTTGCGGACCGCCAAGCTCGTCAGCCAGACCGTTGCGAGGGAAGGTCTGTGCTGTTAGCCCCTGTCTCGTGCTTTTGAACATACCTTGCGCATCATGGGCGCTTCTGGCACCGTCGAGTACACCACGTACGAGAACGCAGCAATGAGACCCACGGCCGTCAAAAAGTGGCGGAGCGCCAGAGGGCCGGGGGTCTTGTAAGCGTCGGGCGACCACATGTTCAAGACATCGTCTTGCTCGTGGAGCTACAATGTTAGGCGATGTAAACGTATACATACCGTTTCACCGTACTGACGACGGTCTTGTGTATCCCACCAATGACGGCTGTACGGACGGAACTGCTGGTTCTCCATCGGCATCGCTGGGTAGTCGCCCAGCTGAGGGTCAACCTTCGAGCCAGGCACGATCGTGCCCTTAGGAAGCTGTGCCTGCGTTTTCTTTTGCATGCGAACTGCCGACATCGACATAGCACGAGTCTGCATACGCGAGGCCGCGCGCATCGCCGGCGTCATAGTCTGGAAAGCCACACGCTGCAGCATAATTGGCGACGAGAGGGAGTCGTAGGGCGGCTCGCCCCAGCCGAGACCCGCGTGATTGATCACGTGATCTCGCGGCGACGACCGCATAGGTCTTGGTCACCGCTGTCTACAAACCCTACGTCGCTGCATCGGTGGCAATTGTTGGTGCTTCAGTATGGTGGATATTCAGGAGCAGGACGAGTGGATTAGCTACCTCAGCGAGTGTAAACAGCTGAGTGAAAACGATATCAAGCGTCTCTGCGAGAAGGTGTGTTCACTTAAAACCAGACCGCTAACAGCACTCTAGGCGCGTGATGTTCTCTTGGAGGAGTCCAATGTGCAGCCTGTACATTGCCCTGTAACTGTGTGTGGTGATATCCATGGACAGTTCCATGACCTTTCTGAGCTTTTCCGCATTGGCGGCAACTCGCCGGATACCAACTACCTTTTTATGGGTGATTACGTCGATCGCGGTTACTACTCTGTGGAAACAGTGACTCTCTTGGTGGCCCTCAAGGTCCGTCACCCGGACCGTGTCACCATCCTGCGTGGCAATCACGAGTCGCGTCAAATCACTCAGGTGTACGGCTTCTACGACGAGTGCCTGCGTAAATACGGCAACGCGAATGTGTGGAAGTACTTTACCGATCTCTTCGATTACCTTCCTCTGACGGCGTTGATTGATGACCAAATCTTCTGTCTCCACGGTGGTCTGTCGCCATCGATTGATTCTCTGGACCAGATTCGCCAGATTGACCGTGTCCAGGAGGTGCCGCATGAGGGACCGATGTGTGACCTGCTGTGGTCCGACCCTGATGACCGCTGCGGATGGGGTATTTCGCCCCGTGGTGCTGGCTACACGTTTGGTCAGGACATTAGTGAAGCGTTCAACCATAACAATGGTTTGACGCTTGTGGCGCGTGCGCACCAGCTGGTCATGGACGGCTTCAACTGGTCGCAGGAGCGCAATGTGGTGACTGTATTCTCAGCGCCGAACTATTGTTACCGCTGTGGCAACCAAGCCGCGATTATGGAAATTGACGAGAACTTGAAATACACGTTCTTGCAGTTTGATCCTGCCCCACGTACTGGCGAGCCACTAGTGTCGCGTCGCGTCCCTGACTATTTCCTTTAAATTATGATGATATCATGTGTGTATGATTCATGCATCGATGCTGTCCCTGTTTTTTCATTTGATTTTTTACCTATCGATGCGTTTTATTTCTCAGAGCACTTCGCTTCATAGCGTGTAATACTATCCGATCTGTGCCACATATAGAAGATGTGACAAGGACACCCATCAGACGGCCAGCCCGCCTGCCAAATGACAATTACGTCAGCTAAGGCCGTGCTCCGCTACCGCTGTGTTGAACGCAACAGGGCGTCTTGTCCTTGACTTGCACGATGCCTACGTTGGGTGACTGGATTGGTCTCATTCTGATTAGTGCTTTGGTGTACGCGATTTATACGGGTCTTCAACACTCAGGAGACGCCAAGCAGGCTATGAAGGATAAGCTGCAGTCCTTGGAGGTATGTCGACGATCCTTTCATGCTCATACAGCAGGCCAAAGGTGTCTCCATCTCGTCGGATGGCATCTCTATTCGATCCACACGGCCAGCACTGGATCGGGACGCATATGTTGTACGTATTCATCTTAACTTATGTCAGGATGCCACCAAGGAGCGTGTTGACAAAGGCCGCGCTTTCTTGCAACAGCATGGATCCTTCAACACTGCCAAGCAGCCCTAAACAGCAAGTGGCGTACGACACTGGCAAACGTCGATTCATGCACATGGCATTCATGCAATCTATGTAGAGATAGAACATCGTACAAGCACCTATTAGCACAAAGAAGACTTGAACCGCTACGCCGCGGCCGTACCGAACCTCTTGAGAATTTCGCCATTGGCCTCGTCCCATTGGTAGCCATTCGCACGGAACACCCGGCTCAACAAGAAGGGACGCACATCGAAGATATCCACTTCCTTCGCGCGCTGCTCCAACTCCGATAGCGGCACAGAAATGAGCGTTGGCGTCTCCAATTGGCGATGGCGGTGTTGGGTAAACCGCATTTTGTCTTTGACGATACCACCCAGCAAGAAAGACAGCAATTCATCATGATCGCGTGCTTGGTGAATGTATTTGCGGAACCCGCGTTCCAATGTCCGTTTGATACTCATCTTTTGCGCACTTACAAAGCTTTCCACCGTGACACGAATGGCCACATCGATGTCATCCGATCGCACATAGTCACGCAGATGCATTTTGGCACTGGCTTCCGCCATACGGATCATGCTTTCCAAATGACGCACCGTAATAGGATACGAGCCGGTGTTGAGACTTTCGCGACGCAGATCAGCGTACAAGCGCGAAAGACGCTCCTGGTCCAATGCGTCCAGGCGTGGACGAATATGGTCGCGCGCATACGTAATGTACTTTCGCAGCATATCCTGTGGGATGATGTCTGCATCCCACGACGTAGCTACACGCGCTTCATCCACCGACGCATCAAAGGTTGGGTGCGCACGCAAATGCGAGCTCACGACAAAACGCGCAAGCATTTCGTCCTGTACAGGGTCCACAATATCCTTGACCACACACAACACATCGAAACGACTCAAAATGGGCTCCGTAAGCTCGACATTCTGGCTGAATGGGATGGTGGGGTTGTACCGTCCACGAATAGGGTTGGCTGCGGCGATAATGGCACAACGCGCTTGCAGAGTAGCCACAATACCTGCCTTGGAGATCGAAATGCTCTGTTGCTCCATCGCCTCGTGAATCGATGTGCGATCCGCATCGTTCATTTTATCGAACTCGTCAATCAAACACACACCCTTGTCCGCCAAAACGAGCGCACCACCTTCCAAGGTCCACTCTCGTGTCACTGGATCACGACGTACACTGGCTGTAAGACCTACAGCGGACGCGCCTTGGCCTGTAGCAAATACAGCACGATTCGCTGTCTTCTCCACGTACTTGAGGAATTGTGACTTGGCTGTACCAGGGTCACCGAGTAAGAGAACGTTGATGTCGCCACGAATGCGATGCTTGCCTCCTACATCTTTGGAGACACCTCCAAACAGGCTCAAAGCAATCGCCGTCTTGATACTGGTATGGCCATAAATACTGGGTGCAATGCTTTTGATGATGCGCTTGCCAATTCGATCATCGCGCGCCAGCGCGCGAATCTCCTGCTCATCATCTTCGGTCAGACGGAAGGCCGCGTACGCGTCGTCTCGCTTTGCGATGTGATTGGCTTCCAGGATCGTCGCGAACACAGGGAACCCATTGCGAGTGTTGAGCGCCGCGTCAAAATTGTTGCGGTATATGCCGGTTACCTCCACTTCTTCACCAGGTTTGACACCGTCTACCAAATCCCAGAGCAAAATCACCTCACGGTGTCGCGGTAAGCGGCCTGGGGGTACGCTGCCAGGCGATTCTTGCAATGTCATTTTTTGGTAATTTCGATAGACTGTTTGCTCACTGTTGACGCGGAAAGGACCGCGTCTTGAACAGTTAGAGCAATAGCTGATTTTCACTTCCTGATTCGAATCTTGCCAAAAAGGACCCAAGACTTCACCACAGCTCAAGCAGTCAAACTTGACGTATTTCAGTTGCGGGAAGACGCCACTCCGACGTGTCACTACACCGCTTACACGCATAAGGGTATTCAAGTGTGATTGACGCAAGTCACGCAAGGTCGACGAGAGGGGCAAGTCAGCAATACGCACATGAATCTCAGGGTGGATGCGGTCATACGACGGATAGTACAAAAGAACAGCATCGAAAGCCACTTCGTCAAAGATTGGAAGGATACTGGCAGGTGAGTTGACGAGAAAGAATGCCAGAATGGCTTTGGCATCAACCAAGTGTAGGTACGAGATCTCAAGTGACTCCAAATTCAGTTCACCCAAAGTCTTGATGCGCTGACCATACACACTAACACCTTGTTCGTCGACATATGTGACAAGGAAATTGCGGAATTCGCGAACGATCGTGCGACGGACATTCTCCGTAGCGATCCAACTCGCGATGCTATCCGCTTTGATATCGCTCAATTGCTCAAGAGGAAGATCGTCCGGCATCGCATCGTCATCAGGCACCTCATCATAGTGCCTTCGACGACGGTGGCGGAAAACACCATCATCACTTTCTTCGTCACTCTGGAGAAATTGAGGCGCATGACGGCTCATACGACCCCTTCCCTCCGCACGATCACGCCGGGCCATGCGCATTTCAGCAAGCTGACGTGTCGTGGCATCCATGTGCTCAAAGTCAGCATCATCCATGCCTTCTTCTTCGTAGGTGTCTAGTTCTGGGTTTTCGCGGTAATCACTGCCTGTCAGTGTCGTTCATACGTACTTTTCCATATTATCCCCAAAAAGGTCTTCGCCCTCATCATCGTCGCCATCATCAATATCCGGCACATCGTCTTCAATGGCGCTATGATCGTCGGCCTCATCTGTGAAGTCAGAGAGGGCCCCCGGCGGCGACGATGTTGGCAACGAAGACGGGGGAATGGACGACGCACGATCACGTCCCGAGTCACTTCCGCCAGAGTCAGCCCATGGCGATGATGGGTCCAATGGCCCACGCGATGTAGAACGCCGGCGTTTGCGGTGAGACGGGTCAGCCTCCGAAGACTAGTAGGTGAGTGGGACGGCTATTTTCACATACCATCAGTCAGCCGTCCTGTCGGTTAATGAGCGAGCCGCGCGACGACGAATACGCGCCTTTTTCGTACATGGCTGACGTAATAATCTGCTCCAAATTTCAAGACGCTTCGTTGTGGGCACCTGCAGCGTACTCTCCCAATGTGTCTTGCGCGGGCGGTGTTGGAGCATACGGCTCTCACGCAAGGCTCGCATGCTACACCCAGCAATGCCAAGCTACCGCCGTCAATCCAGCTGGTTCTTATAGAGGAATCCCTTGCACAATCGGCGGTGGGTGTTGTGCGGGAGATGGTCTATCGTGCAGAAAAAAGGTTTGTCGTGCTGAACCACTGACATCTCAGTCAACAAACAACCATTCTTGTTTGCACGCAGCGCGATCCAGTCATGTATTTACCTCCCTCTCCATCAAAACATTTGTATGTCCGTGATTATCATACAGTTTCTGCCACGTACGACGATATTACTATCTCGCATATTGAGCGTGGTATCTTGACTACCATGGACAAGGTAGCCAAAACGGCTCGCGTGACGCTCATTATCGACTCCCTAGATGCACTCCTCGACGCTACAGGCTGCCGCATCAATGAAGCGTACAGTTTCCTGCGTCGCATCTTGCAACTGGTCCCACGTATGTACCCTATGTTCTCACCTCAGGCTACTCGCGCATCATGGCCTGCTATGACCAAGATCCATCCAGTTCTGCCTCGTCCCTTGTAGCGGCTATGCGGACTCCACAAATATGGCTTGGATACACTCCCGTTCACGATGATGCTTCCTCTACACCGTGGTCTCATGCCACTGTATCCATGCGTGTTTTGGCTCCGGCTATGCTTCAGCACATCCAAAAGACGTATGGATTGGCGCCACCTACCTCTTCGTCGTCTGTCTATCGTGCGGCCGTTGATGATGCTGGCGTGTTGCCTTTGCAAACCTCTTCTTTCAGCAGCTCTGATACCCCTGTGGACCTCCGCTACTGGACGCTGCTTCACAACACGGCGCGGCGTGGGCCCCTAGGTATTATGGACGAACAAGGGAGCCTTGGATGGTGGGGTAAGGTCGCGGAGAATTCTAGCTTACACGCTTCCGATACGCTCGACAAAACAGAGTACCTCATACCTGGTCCGGTGCTCTCGTGGAACGATGTTTCGCCCAAAACCCGTGGTATCCTTTTCCTTCATACCCATGTATCTTTGTCTTCGGGCAAACGGCTTAATGAGCTTGTCGCTTGTGGCTACCATCCATCAAAAAGATTACATGTCCTTGCCGTCTCATCATCGAGTGGACGCACCTTGCCTGAATCTGCGACGTCGCACGATCCTCATACCTCCATGGTCCAAAGTCTGCCATTCAACTTGGCAGAGACAAAACAACAGCGAGAAAGGCGAGAGAACGTGCCACTGCCTTACACTTATCAGCTCAATCCAGCGCAAGAGAATGCAAGTCTTCGCGGCTCTACAGGCCAAAGTGCGATTTTCTTCGAGCCAGAAAGTGAGGATGACGAAGATGATGAAGATCCCGATGATGACTTAGATCTATAGCTGTTTATTTAGCACGCAATGCGTCGATCAATTTTGCCGCGAACAAGCAGGATACCACCACGACCACGGAGAGTCCTACATTGCGCGGATTCCATAGTGGTACCTCCTTGTCATGTACGTTGGCCTCGTTTGTTTCCTCGGGCTGGACGGACGACGGCTCGGTGGTCGCCACATTTGGTGGTCGGGACATATTCGGCAGATCTTTCACGGATGGGCCAGCATAGTCCGGGAAGATCAGTGTAAATTTGCGCTGTGCGACATTAAATGCATGCGATTTTGCCGCGAGAGTACGGCGCTCCCTCTGCGTGGCCATGACGGAGCCTGCTGTCATCTCGTCTGTACACATAAAGGACAGCAAGCCAATCAAGCTGGATATAAGTTGCCATGGTTCCACGTACATATTTGCCACAGACCAAGCAGGATTCCAGCTGCCTGGGTGATAATCACTCATAGACTGTCGTAAGTCCACTATTTTACTTACTGTACAAATTTTGGTGTCTGGCTGGAATCGCCCACTAGGTGTCTGAAGCTTGATACCCCTGATGTCAGCATATACTATACGCACGGTGGTTTGAAGGGATAGTCACTAGGGAACAAAAGTTGGCCCCAGTACTCACCACCCTCATACGGCGTATCGGGAGGTCCACGCAAAATAAAATGCCTGGCGTAAGACAATGCGTACGTACCACTCGAGAATATTGTCATCTTTGGGACGCGCGTAACAGAGCGGCGGCGGATCCTTCTCCATAAGAACGGATTCTTTGCCCAGCTACAATGTCAGTGCATCCATATCACGTACACGCTTTGTTGCTGCTTTGGACGCCATGATGGACAACGCTAGTTCCACCACGACCTCCATTCGGCCAGGTGGAGTTCCTATCACGTGGCCCCAGCGCGCGACGCGCTTTGCGGAGTGGCTACGCGTGTCATTGGCGACCATGGCCTTCGGGCAAAAGACGCACGGTCGACGTGGTCGGCCTCCCAAAGATCCAAATGCACGAGCACAGCGTTCATCTTTGTCGGTAGAAGATACGTCGAATTACCAGGCAGGGCCTTCGCGGACTTCTCCTCCGGCTGGTACTGCAGGATTGGCATCTGGGTTCGCTTCTGTAAAGATGCGTAAGGTACACTCTGGCGATGTGGCTATGCAGAGCTCTACTGAGCGTAGCAGCACACCAAATACAGTTGAAGATTTCGAATTGCTTCTTGAAGATATGCGTGCACGTTACGAACAGAGTGTCGATGAGCGTGTGGTACAAGTACGTGTTTTGTGTCTTACATGTCAGGCAAATCGTGAGCGTGATGCTATTCAAGCGCAGTTCGACAGGCTAAAAGAACTTCGTATGACACAAAGTGAAAAGACCTTGGCTGAATGGAAGAAGGCCAGTGAAACGCGTCATCGTCGTATGTAACTTTTCTTTATTCTCACCGCTAGACACTCTTGAGTCCCTGTCTGCGTGGAAAAACCGCGCTGAGCATGCAGAGCACCGCGCGAAGGAGCTGGAGCAACAAGTGAAGGAGCCTTCTGCCCCTATATCGAGTGACAAAACGGCTACGGTAGCGCTGGAGCAGCTCAAACAGGAAGGTATGTTACAGGCTTTCTCATCTGTAGTGGCTGCTTTAACAGACAAACTGGCGGAAAGCAGGCGTGAACTCGAGGAGGAGAAAGCTAAACGTACGGCCTTAGAGGCTCAGCTCCAAAATATGACAAGTGCTGCATCTGTGCGTGAAGATGAAATGGCCATTCGACGCATGTATGAGGATTTGACAGGCTTCATTGTGAACGAAGTTGAAATGCATGATACGGTACACAAACAACGTCGATACGATATGATATTTACTGGAGCTGACTATTATGGTACGTCCTTCTCGACTGACACGCCAAGATCTTCAGTTCTCACTTGAAGAGTCACGTCTCCATGTCTCTGCCGAGTTCGAGCGAGATAGTTCTACGGCATCTGTTCGTGATGATTTCGTGTACATTCCACATATTGATCAAACGCGCGATGCAGCTCTCCTTGCTTCTGACAATATGCCTGATCACTTCTTGGAACAAATTCGGTTCGAACGTGGCGCTGCTACCAAGTTCCTTACAGCCCTCCACCGTAGTTTAAAGAAGTAGGTTGCTGTGATAAATCCACGTGGTAAGACTATATATAAATCTAGAGGCATGTCCGCGGAGGTCAGTGTGCTTTGGGGTCCACGGAGGTGCATGTGATATAGGGCAAAAATAAAAATGTCTGTGCTTGTGCCTAAATTGTTTTTTATTTTTTAAATATATAACCGGGACATGCCATTTTGACCTTCGACAGCATCCATGTCACACCCGGTGGCATCGACTGTCGTTGGTGCTAGCGATATTCGCCAGCATAACGATGAAGTGGATTCGGTTGCTACCCATGGAACTGATGCATATGTATCAGTTACAGGGTCGTCGGCACCTTCCTCCATGTATCATAATGCTGAAAGCTCATGGTATGACGCTTCTTCGAACGCTCATGATGCTCCCATGGTGGATACCACAGCTGGACTTGAGCCTGCGCTTCCGTCCAGCACCAAGCCTTTGGTGAACGAACGCCAGGAGGCCCCTGTGGAAATGGCACCGGGTGCTGCTACCACTCTTGTGCATCACACACCTGTTCTCCAGAATGAGGAAACCTTCAAGACACCCCATGTGCACCTCCATTCTCCTCCTGTTATCCATAAGACTGTTCCCATTGATATCCTAGACCCTGTTGGTGTGAGTCAGCTTTCTCGTCGCGTGTCTATGAGTGAGCAAAAATATAACCAACTACATGCGATGGCGGGCGACCCTGAAATGCACCCGCACGATACTACCAACGCGACTGCGAATCCATTTGATGGGGAGAAGCAGTTTGATTTAGGTCTGTTCATGAAGCACCAGCTTGAAGAGTTGGGTGAGCGTGGTCACCAGCCTGTTGAAATGGGTCTGGCCTTCCAGGATCTGAGCGTCACAGGCTACGGTACTGGTGCCAAACTGAGCCAGAACATGGGGTCTATGCTAAGTGCCCCACTCCGTGCAGGTATTGGTCTGAAAGAACTTATTCGGCCTCATGTGAAGCACATTCTTACTGGTGTTACCGGCTGTGTAAAGCCAGGTGAGATGCTTCTGGTCCTTGGCCGTCCTGGTGCTGGCTGTACTACTTTTCTGAAGTCACTGGCTTCGTACCGCGATGGTTATCGCAGTATTGAGGGTACTGTTCTCTACGGTGGCTTTGATCACAAGGCGATTGATGGCATGCTTCGTGGTGAGGTTGTTTATGCACCGGAGGATGACAACCACTTTGCGACACTCTCTGTAAAGAATACGTTGGAGTTTGCATCGGCCACGCGTACGCCTCGCTCGGACTACCGTGTCACTTTTACTGAGAAGCACTCTCGTAAGGAATTTATCTCTCTTATGGTCGAATCGATTGCCACTATTTTGGGTCTGCGACACACGTACAACACCGTGGTGGGCGATTCATTTGTCCGCGGTGTCTCGGGTGGTGAGCGAAAGCGTGTGAGTATCGGTGAGACACTTGCTTCGCGTGCTCACGTTGTCATGTTCGACAATTCGTCGCGCGGTTTGGACTCTTCGACTGCTTTGGAGTTTGTGCAAGCGCTTCGTGTGGCCACAGACATTGGTAGGCGTACTACGCTTACAAGTATGTACCAGGCTGGCGAGGCTATTACCAACACATTCGACAAGGTCATTGTGCTCAACAAAGGTCACTGTGTCTATTTTGGTCCGGAAGCGGAAGCTGCGAACTATTTCAAGTCTATTGGTTACCTGCCTTTGAACCGTCAGACCACCGCTGACTTCTTGGTGGCCTGCACAGACCCGATTGCTCGTAATTTAAACCCTGAATTCAAGGATGTGCCTACCACGCCAGAGGCTATGGCAGAAGCTTTCCGCCGCTCGCCTCAAGGCCAGGCGAACGCGCGTGAAGTGGCTGAATACGTTGCACAGATGCAATCAGAGACCGAACAGGAAAAGGGCGCACTGGTTGAAGGTATGCGTGGCCAGCGTACGAAGCGCGTGGCTAAGAAGAGCATGTATATGCTCTCTTGGCCACAGCAAGTTCGCCTGGCTATTAAGCGTCGTTTCCAGATCACTATTGGTGACTCAGCTACCATGGGGATCATGTCTGCTGCCATGATTTTCCAGGCTTTGATTATGGGTTCCGTGTTCTTCCAGATGAATGACCAGACGGATGCATTCTTCTCTCGCAGTGGTGTTATTTTCTTCGCTTTGCTATACAACAGTTTCTCGGCCATGGCTGAAGTGCCCAACAACTATACCCAGCGTCCGATTGTAATCCGACACAAACGATTTGCTATGCTTCGACCTTCGGCTGATTCTCTTGCGAACTGTCTGCTCGATATTCCTGTGCGTATGGTACCTATGACGTTCTTCAACGTTATTCTGTACTTTATGACAGGTCTTTCGTACCGGGCAGACAAGTTTTTCATCTTCTATTTCCTGGTTTTCCTGATTACATTTACGATGGTTACAGTCTTTCGATTCTTGACGGCCGTCTTCCGCAATGTGGCCGTGGCTACCATGTTAGCCGGTTTGATTGTCATTGACTGTGCTTTGTATGCAGGGTATGCTATCCCACGTCCCTCCATGGTAGTGTGGTGGAAATGGCTGTCCTATTGCAATCCCATTGCATTTGGCTTCGAAGTTCTTCTGACCAATGAATTCCGGAGCAAGTCCTTGCGCTGTGCAGGTATGGTGCCTCCGTACCCGAATGCCCCACTGGAGAGCCAAGTATGTCCCATTGCAGGTTCAACTCCTGGAGCAATGTACATCGACGGTCTGAGGTACTTGAAGGCTACGTATAACTATACATGGGAGCACACAAACCGGAATGTTGGTATTATTATCGGCTTCTTCATCTTCTTCACGCTGGCATACATGATTGCATCCGAACTCCAAACGGATCCTGCTGCCTCTGGTGGCATCATGGTTTTCCATCGCGGCAAGGTCAACCGTGAGATGGTGAACCACCTTGCTGACGATCCAGAAGGCGCACTCATGACTGAGGAGCGTCTTGAAGAGTTGCGCAACTCCGACGCGGCCAAGTTCACTGGTATGCTGGACGTATCCGATGAGGTTTTCAGCTGGGAGCATGTGAACTATGATGTCATGATCAAGGGTAAGCCTCGTCGTCTTTTGAACGATATTTCGGGCTTTGTTTTGCCTGGCAAGATGACGGCTTTGATGGGCGAGAGTGGTGCTGGTAAGACTACCTTACTCAATGTCCTGGCACAGCGTACGGATGTTGGTGTAGTGACAGGTGACTTTTTCGTGGATGGTAAACCTCTGCCTCGATCATTCCAGGCAGACACAGGTTACTGCCAGCAGCAGGATGTCCACATGGCTGAAATGACTGTACGTGAATCGCTTCAATTCTCGGCATTGCTTCGTCAGCCGCGTGAGACGCCCAAGGAAGAACGCCTAGCCTACGTGGAGACCGTGCTGGATCTGCTGGAGATGAATTCGTTTGCGGATGCCATCGTTGGTGAGACTGGTGAAGGTCTGAACGTCGAGCAGCGCAAGCGTTTGACGATCGGTGTGGAGCTGGCTGCTAAGCCACGTCTTTTGCTGTTTTTAGATGAACCTACGTCGGGTTTGGATGCGCAAGCTGCATGGTCTGTGGTCCGCTTCCTGAAGAGGCTGGCCAACGAAGGCCAAGCCATTCTATGCACGATCCATCAGCCAAGCGGCGAGCTGTTTAACCAGTTCGACCGTTTGCTCTTGCTGCAAAAGGGTGGTAAGACGGCCTACTTTGGCGATATTGGTGAGAACTCTCGTACTTTGCTGGATTACTTTGAGAAGCGTAGTGGCATCTCTTGTGATGAGAACGCCAACCCAGCCGAGTATATGCTTGATGTGATTGGTGCTGGCGCCACGGCTTCGACGGACAAGGACTGGTTTGCTCTTTTCCGCGAGAGTGAGAAGTACCAGGAGATGCAAGCCGAATTAAAGCGCATTTCGGACCTACGTGACAAGCCTGTAAACGAGTCGCCCGAGAACCTATCGCGTCTTAGCCGTGAATACGCTCAGCCATTCAGTGTCCAACTAGGTGTTAACCTGTACCGTGTCTTTGTTTCGTACTGGCGTAACCCCACGTATGTGGCCGCGAAGCTCTTCTTGAATGTTTTCGGAGGTCTGTTCATTGGTTCCAGTTTCTGGGGCCAGGGCCAGAAAGTCTCACAGGCTGGTCTTCAGAACAAGCTTTTCGCTACGTTTATGTCTCTTGTTTTGTCGACATCTCTTTCTCAGCAACTGCAGCCTGAATTCCTCAGGCAGCGTGGTATTTTCGAGGTGCGTGAGAGGCCCTCCAAGCTGTACAGCTGGGTTGTCTTCTTGCTTTCACAGGCCATTGTGGAGATCCCATGGAACATCTTGGGTGGTACTCTCTTCTGGGTTTGTTGGTACTTTATGGTTCAGTTCGGGACAGAGGGCCCTCGCGCTGGCTACAGTTGGGGTATCTACATGATTTTCCAGCTTTACTTCTGCTCCTTTGCGCAGGCCGTTGCTACCATCTCGCCTAATGCCATGGTTGCCTCGGTGTTGTTCTCTACGTTCTTTTCATTTGTCATCGTTTTCTGTGGTGTCGTGCAACCTCCTGCTCAGTTGCCGTACTTCTGGCGTTCGTGGATGTTCCATCTGAGTCCCTTCACGTATATTGTGGAGGGTATGATGGGCAATGCCATTTGGGACAAGCCTGTTCGTTGTCAGCCGGGTGAAATGAACAAGATTATTCCACCCGCGGGACAAACATGTGATCAATGGATGTCTGGATTTACTTCCAACCTGTCTCAGCCTGCTGTTCCTGGTGCTGGCTACTACGAAGTGGGACCTGATGGCTCATGTAACTTCTGTGCTATGCGTAAGGGTGAAGACTACATGGCCAGTATCCTACTAAAGTCGAGCTATCGATTCCGTGACCTTGGTATTCTCTTCGCTTTCGTTGGCTTCAACTTCATCTTGTACTTTGTTCTTTACTACTTATTCCGAGTCCATAAGTGGAAGAAAAACAAGGCCATAAAGGGTACTCCTGAATCTGTGAGCACTCAAATGAGCGCGCATGAAGAACCGAAGGTCCAAGAGTAATATAAAGTTAATTGTAATAGAGTACTCTTTCAATGCCTACCCTATTGTTAGCTCCTGCTATTAGTGCGGACCGATGGCTATGGTTGAATTGGGAATACATGCAATCCATTCTTCTCAATTCATTCCTCGCTTAGGATTGGTTTTTCGAAGCGATCTTTCACATTACGAGATGCCAGAGGCCAGCTGACTTCCCTACACGATTATCTAATTTCTGCGCATACTCTCGCCAAGTCGAAGTGATAAAAAAATAATATGTATGATGACGTAATATAGACTCTCAATGTCTTGTATCTACTGGTGGCACCCACATGGCACGCCCAAGCGGCGGTGTGTTGCATTCACTGCGCGCGTAATCCTCGAAAATTGAGTTCTAGCCGCACATCAGTGTCTGCCTAATACTGACGCCTCTACCGTGGGTAGGTCGTCGGGTTGTCATGTATAATCGTAATGGTCTTGGCCTAGAGCCAGCATATGACATATACCAGCCGCTAGATAATAGCTATGAGCGGTGGGGGAATGAACCTGATCATCCACTTCAAACATACTCGAGAGATGAGCCTTATACCAGAACTCACTCCAAGCCACGCCGTCACAGTGTACGTGCGATCGATTCACGTCCCTATGACGAGTATCTCGATGGCCCTCGGGGGGATGTTACCCCAAGGCAGTACTATAGCTCACCGGTGGACAATGGTACGCCATATGAGCTTTACGACAGAAGGCGGTCACGCTCACGCAAATCAGTGCCTATTGGCTCCTTGGATCCGACGGGTGTACAAGAGCTCTCACGTCGCTTGTCGACCAAGACGAACGCTTCACTACGAAAGCGCCGAGATTTCTCCAGTGCTGCTGTGGCGCATCTAACACCACACCCCTTGTCGCCCGAAAGTATGGCATCACCCGACAAGGGTAAGGCCGATGGTGTCTTTTCGCCGCTGCCTATGTCCCCTGATCCTCAATATACGAGTGTCTCGGTGGACCAAGGGGAAGGAGAGAAAGACGTAAAAGGTCTGACGCATGATCCTTTCGATGAAAACAATCGATTTGATCTTGCCCGACTCTTGCACGAGACATATGCCGAATCCGACCAACGTGGCAACCAGCGCCGGACCATGGGTATTGCGTTCCGCGACTTGCGTGTTACTGGCTATGGTACTGGTGCACAGCTGAACGAGACGTTTGGTTCCGTTCTTCTTCTTCCATACCGTATGCTGGCGGGTATTCGAGGCATGTTTAACCGTCCGATTAAAACCATTTTGCAAGATGTTGAAGGTTGTGTGAAGCCAGGAGAGATGCTTCTGGTTCTTGGTCGTCCCGGCAGTGGGTGTACATCCCTATTGAAGGCGCTTGCTTCATATCGCGATGGTTTCCGCAGTATTGACGGTACTGTGCTCTACGAGGGTCTTGACCATCGGAGTATTGATGGTCCTCTGCGTGGCGACGTTGTCTACTCGCCTGAAGATGATGTACATTTCCCTACTCTGACCGTGGGTCAGACTTTGCGTTTCGCCAGTGCTACCCGAGCCCCGAATGCCAAGTACCGTGTCACCCTGGGTGAAAATGGTGACCGTGCCGAGTACATCGATCTTACCCGTGAAGTGCTGGCTACCATTCTGGGTCTGCGTCACACGTACAACACAAAAGTCGGGAACGATATGATTCGCGGTGTATCAGGTGGTGAGCGTAAGCGTGTGAGTATTGCTGAAACTATGGCGGCTCGTGCGAAAATTGCCATGTACGATAACTCGTCTCGTGGTCTTGACTCGTCGACGGCGCTGGAGTTTGTTACGGCTTTGCGTATCCAGACCAACATTGCCGAATGTACTACCATCGCCAGCATCTACCAGGCTGGTGAGGGTATTACACAGCTCTTTGACAAGATTGCCTTGCTAAACCAGGGCCGTCTTGTGTACTTCGGTCCTGTGAGCATTGCGGTGGACTACTTCAAGTCCATTGGCTTTGAGCCCCTGGACCGTCAGACCACAGCAGACTTCTTGGTGGCTTGTACTGATCTGGCTGGCCAAAACATCAACAAGAGCTTTAAAGGTGTGGTGCCTCGCAGCCCCGATGCGCAAGCGGAAGCGTTCCGCAACTCTTGGGTCGGTGCAGCGAATCGCTCGGAAGTGGAGAATTACATTGCTGTGATGATGTCCCGGCAAACGAAGCAGAACGCCGACAGTTATGTGAACTTGGCTCGTGATGAGCGTGCGAAGTTTGCGTCGCGTCGCAGTCGTTATCTTCTTTCGTGGCCCATGCAAGTGCGTCTTGCTCTGAAGCGTCGTACGCAGGTGGCGATCGGTGATATGGGTACCCACATCACCGTCGTATTGGCAGCTCTGTTCCAGGCTTTGATTATCGGGTCCGTGTTCTACCAAATGCCGCCAAATACAGATGGTTTCTTCTCGCGTGGTGGTGTATTGTTCTTCTCGCTTTTGTACAACTCTTTCACCGGTATGTCCGAGATCGCTCTTTGCTACGAGCAACGCCCCATTGTGATTCGGCAAAAACGATTTGCGATGCTTCATCCTTCAGCAGATGCGTTCGGCAATACATTGCTTGACTTCCCGATTCGAATGATGTCCATTATTGTCTTCGATATTATCGTCTACTGGATGACGGGATTGAGTGCGGATGCAGGCAAGTTCTTTATTTACTTTGCCTTGACGACCCTAGTCACATTCTGTATGACGGCATTCTTCCGCATGGTGGCAGCAGCTACCAAATCGGAGCCTTTAGCTACGACCTTTGGTGGGTTGGCCGTACTGGATGTGGCTTTGTACACGGGTTATATGATTCCACGTGGGTCCATGGTGGTTTGGTGGAAGTGGCTTTCGTACTGCAATCCTGTGGCCTTTGGTTTCGAGGTTTTGCTTGCTAATGAATACCGAGGTCGGCAGTTCCTTTGCACGATCATGGTGCCACCTGATCGACCTAGCGCCAATCAAGTATGTCCTGTGGCTGGTGCGGAAGCAGGCAATCTGTATGTTGACGGCCCTCGCTATTTGTTGGAAACTTATGGCTTTACGTGGGACAATGCACTACGAAACTCTATGATTATCTTTGCTTTCTGGATCTTCTTCATCTTCATGTTCCTCTTGGTCTCCAACTTCCAGGTGGACCCTGCTGCGATGGGCGGTGCTATGATCTTTGATCGCTCGAAGGTCTCTGAACAAGTTCTGGCTACCATCCATACGAATGAGCAGGAGAAGGCCTTGGACGAAGGCGAGCCATTGCGGCTGGATGCGGACTCGACGCCCGTGGCGAAGCATCCCGGTCAATTACAGGTGTCCGAGTCCGTCTTCAGCTGGGATAACATAACGTATGACGTTCTCATCAAGGGTAAGCCACGTCGACTGCTCAACAAGGTGTCAGGTTATGTGGCACCTGGCAAGATGACAGCACTGATGGGTGAGAGTGGTGCCGGTAAGACGACTCTCCTGAACGTATTGGCGCAGCGTACAGACGTCGGTGTGGTGGGCGGTGACTTTTTTGTGAACGGCAAGTCTTTGCCACGTTCTTTCCAGGCGGACACGGGCTACTGCCAGCAGCAGGATGTGCATTTGGCGCAACACACCGTGCGTGAGGCGCTTCAATTCTCGGCTATGCTTCGTCAGCCGCGTGAGACGCCCAAGGAAGAACGCCTAGCCTACGTGGAGACCGTGCTGGACTTGCTGGAGATGAACTCGTTTGCGGATGCCATCGTTGGTGAGGTCGGTGAAGGTCTGAACGTCGAGCAGCGCAAGCGTTTGACGATCGGTGTGGAGCTGGCGGCCAAGCCCAGTTTGCTCTTGTTCTTGGATGAGCCCACCTCGGGTTTGGATGCACAGGCGGCGTGGTCGATCGTCCGTTTCCTCAAGAAGCTGGCCAAAGAAGGTCAGGCAATTCTGTGTACGATTCACCAACCGAGTGGTGAATTGTTTAACCAGTTTGACCGTTTGCTTTTGCTGCAAAAGGGTGGCAAGACAGTGTACTTTGGCGATATTGGTGAGAACTCACGTACCCTTCTCTCGTACTTCGAGCAACGCAGTGGCATCAAGTGTGATGCAGATGCGAATCCCGCTGAGTACATTCTGGATGTGATTGGTGCTGGTGCGACGGCTACGACTGACAAGGACTGGCATCAACTGTTCCTTGACAGTGAGAAGTACTCGGTCTTGCGTCGTGACTTGCAGCACATTTACGAGACGAAGCGCCAGATGAAGCAGGACACTTCGGCGCGTTCTACACGAGAATACGCGCAGCCATTCCCAGTGCAGTTGTATGAAGTGACGAAGCGTGCCTTTGTCTCGTACTGGCGTAATCCCTTGTACATTTACACGAAGATGATGCTCAATGTGGTGTCTGGTTTGGTGGTCGGTTCTAGTTTCTGGGCCCAGGGACGTGAAGAGAGCTACATTGCTTTGCAGAATCGATTGTTTGCATGTTTTTTGGCCTTGGTGGCGTCGACGTCTCTTTCGCAGCACCTTCAACCTGAGTTTATCCGCTTCCGTGGCTTGTTTGAAATACGTGAGAAACCGTCGAAAATGTATACCTGGCCTGTGATGGTCCTTAGTGCCCTCCTTGTGGAGATCCCATGGAACTTTCTGGGTGGTACCATTTACTGGCTTCCATGGTATTACTTTATTCAGTTCCCTAAGGCATCGAATCGCGCAGCATACAGTTGGGGTCTCTATATGCTTTTCCAGATGTATTATTGCACCTTCGCTCAGGCCATGGCGGCTATCAGCCCCAACGCTATGATTTCTTCGATTCTCTTCTCTACATTCTTTTCTTTCGTGGTCGTGTTCTGTGGTGTGGTGCAACCTCCTTCTCAGTTGCCGTACTTCTGGAGCTCATGGATGTTCCGTTTGAGTCCCTTCACATGGATTATGGAGGGCATTCTTGGTAATGCTGTGGGTGATGCGAAAGTCGATTGCCAGCCGAATGAGTTGCAGACAATTATTCCCCCGAATGTAAGCTGCGAGCGATGGATGGAACCGTGGACGGCAAAGCGCGATGCTGTGAACCCACCGCCTCGGACGGGCTACTACGTCTCGAATCCTGATGGTACATGTGGTTTCTGCCGTTACCGCTACGGTGAGGACTACTTGAATTCCGTCGAGATGACGGCAAAGGGTATGTACCGTGACCTGGGTATCATTTGCGCCTACATCGTATTCAACACGTTATTGCTGTTCGGTCTGTTCTGGCTCTTCCGCATCTACAAATTCGGCAAGAACAAGAAGGATAAGAAAATGAACATGAATCCCCCGGAGGGTCCCTTCAGCGTGCCGCCACCAACAATGCAAATGGAGACACCAGCTATGGCGATGGAAGTGCCACATGCCGTCGGCGCGGATATGACCAATGCCCTGGATCACTTTGCGCATAGGTCCGACACGCCCTACAACCAGTCTGATATGTCACACTCCACATCGCAGTTGATCCCCAAGAACAAGTCAAATTACGATGTGGACTCTGTCCATGGCTCGCCTTTCATACCTTCTCACCCACTGGAGCCAGTCAATTTTACTACGTCAGAGGATTCGGTGTCGTTGAATGACATGGTTCGTCAAGATGCGCGTTCTCGTTCCAAGCGCCTACCGTCCGCACCCGGTGCTGGGCGGGTACGGCCCACCGTGGAAACATCCTGGGACGATGCCGCGAATCATATTTACGACCCAGCGCTGTCGCCAGCGTACTACCAGCGTAGTCCACGAACTCCACGCTCCCCACGCTCACGAAAGACTCTCTCGGGCTTGTCGTATTATTATCAGGCCGAGGGTGATGAAGAGGAGTATGGCCATGCACGCTAATGTATCATTTTTTCATAGAATCAACGCATGTATTAAATGGTTATGATTGGGTATCTATCATTACATCAACAAAACCATAAGCAGTAACACAATAAGCAGCTACCTCTGTTAGTTGCGCCTAGTACGTGCCACAATGAGGATCCACACACACCACCCCCCCAATCGTGCGTCAGTCTGTGCAATCAGCTTATCCATTCGGACCATTGCATGCTGAAGCTGCGATTGCGTCCGGTCTACATCCGTGTCCAGCTCGCCCAGCATGAGCACATGCTCATCGGCCTCTTGCCCAATAAGTTGCGCCTGCTCACGAAGTGTATAAAGAGATGAGCCAATGGTATCTAATGCCTGGTCCTGGTGAGCCAAAAGCTGCTGCTGCTGCTCCTTTTCCCAAGCCAACGACACCGACGGTTGGGCCATTACCGATGTCAAGTGAGATGACAGACGCTGCTGTTAGCGCAGATGCGACGTACATGTATCGTGCTTTCACACTTCTGCACAAAACGTTTTCTTCGATCCAATTCCACAGCATCGATACCGAATCGACTAGCATCGCTTTGCTCTACGACTTGTACCGTTTCTTTGACATCGTCGAGATCTTGTCGCAAACTGTCCAACGTCGTGGAAAGCTCGCGCCTGGCCTTGTCATCGCGGCTGGATTTTTGAAATAGGGATTCGGCTCTCCTAAGCGAGTTTTCAATGTCTTTCTCAAAGTCGTGATAAGGATCGCGAGGCATGACGAGGCAGCAGAGAAGGGGACCATGCGAGGAGCGCGTGGCCCCTACGCACGACCGTCGGCCTACCACGTGATGCTATGTGGAGGAGCGAGCATCATGGCTTTGTGCCCCCCCCCACGTACCCCCTGGGCAACCACGATGACAGCCATCTTCGGCTGGATTGGCCTTCTGCTCTGGTGCGTTGTGCAGCTGGCCATAGCAGGAGATGTGCCTGTTCACATTCGTCTACGTCATGGATGGCATAACTACACGAATGCAGCTACACATGCCTCCACGTTTGTGGAAATGATGGAGGCTGCCCATGAAGTCTTCCCTAATGAGCTCTTCGATATGGTCTCACACGTATGGCCAGCGTGCGGCAAGGATACCACGAAAGTCATGCGTACTGCAGGCCATAAAGATCTTTTTGATTCCATTGAAGACTTTCTGCGCACTTACGCTACCTCTGTTGGGATTCCTCGCGTGGAAGAGCGCCTTGACGAATGGCGGATCCATGTCGCGCAGCACTGGCAAGCGCCTCGTGTAGAGTCCATGTACCAGATCTTCAACACAAGTCGTGAACTTCAAGGTCATTCCCCTACTTGTGATACGTTTGTCTACTTTGACGACCGCGTGCTTTGCTCACCCAATGACCTTCGCGCTGCTATCACAAAGCCTCCTCGCACACTTCCCACCGTATTTCCGCACGATCATGTGTATCCTAGTGGGCAGTCCGCTCTTCCAGCTCTCATTTTGTATGCGGATCCGTACTCTACCACGTTTGGTGCCTTTCACTCGGAGCTGATGACGCTGGCTGGCGAGCAGCGGATTCGATATGTACTGCGCTGGCGCCCCACGCTCGCCACTGTATCAGAACCACGATCGACGAACTACTTTTCGGGTTTTGGCGCTTCGATGCATTTAAAAAAGGTGGACTACCTGGTCTTAGACGACCGACAGATTGATGCGGCAGAGGCTTCGGAGGCTGTGCCTATCCAGTCTGATCGCATTGGGTCTCTGTACAGAGATGTGCAAGACCAATTATACTCACTCGGTGGTGAACGTACCTCATCGGTTCAAGAGGCCGTTTTGAAGCAGAGCAACTTCTCCTTAGTCGATGGTTTGTACCTCGGTCAGGCAGCTGCGCACGCCATTCTTACTGCAGAGGATCCCCTTTCTACTATGGAATCAATTGTACATGATTTCCCTGCGCATGCTGTTGCCTTACAAGCGTATGCAGCACACCTTGCAGAAAATGACCCTATCATCGAGTACCTCAACGAACGTAACTATCGATTGATTGGGGCTGGATCTTCTCAGATTTGGATCAACGGTCGGGCAGTGCCCAAGTCCGACTTGGAACTTTTGACCTTCTTCAAAAGTATCCAGGAAGAACGCCGCCTCTTGGACGACTTTGGAGCTCCTGAGCTGGGTGTATCCCCGGAAGGTGTAGAATCGCTCCTCACTCAAGAAGCCATCAATCTACAATTTTCACCCTCGCCTCGGGATATTGTTCTGTATGATACCAGTGATACTATCGAGCAGGAATCCGGTTTTGGCACGACTGTAATTGCATGGATTAACAATTTGGAGTCGGAAGAGTACAAGCTATGGCCCAACACCTTGGAAATGATGATGGAGTATCGATGGCCATCTGGCTTTCCCTTGATCGCGCGCAACTTTTTCCAGGTCGTAATGCTTTTGGATGTAGGTCATCCCGAGGCGCTTGAGTTTATGAGCGAGGCACTGGAGGCGATGATGACAGACTACCCTTTCCGTTGGGGTCTTGTACCATTGCTTCGTGACGATGCAAGTGAAGAGATTGCACAGGTACTGTGGCATGCTATCAATATGCTTCAACCACGCGAGATCGCTCCTTTCCTCTTACACCTTGCCAAAGGACCAACAGTAAATGGACGTGTGGATCCAGAGGCAGCTCGTGCTCATCTGGGATCGATAGTCCGCAATATCAAGAAGCGTGGTATAGATTTGGTGCAGGAGTTTGTGCATTACAAGCAAGTATCGCCTTTGTTCAAATACCGACTTGAGCTTGCTCATGCGTATGTCGAGCGTGTGTACCCGAATCCGCGCCCCGGCACCTACGGTGTTGCTTTCTTAAATGGCCAAGAGATTTCGCTGTCAGAGCGCTTTATCGAGGATCTAGCTTCGGCTGTGAGCTACCAGCTGCATCTGGCACACGACGACATCACGCGTGGTCGTATCGAAAAGACAGAGAATTATGAGACATACTTTTTCGATCTCAAGGGCACAGTAAAGGAGCGTTCGCAACTTGCCGACATGTTGGAGGACGCAAAAGCATTGCTTCGTCCCTACAAATTTGTATCGCTTCCAGAAGTCTTCCGACGTCTCGGCTCCCTGGCTGACCCACTTCGTCACTTTTTGTACGATCCCAAAGCGCATGATTCGTTGGTCTCATTACGTGTTGTCGGTGATATCGATTCGGATGTGGGTCGGCACAGCGTCGTGGAAGTGCTCAAAGCGATGGAGGCGGAAGGGCCTTCGTTCCGTGTCTCTTTCATCCATACTGGTGCTGACCACGGGGTTCTTTCGCACTTCCTCCTGTCAGCAATGATGTCAGGTGCGCTTAGCGACATCCCTCCCTCTCGACTTCGCTCTGCGATTGAAGCAGCGGATATTTCGTCTGCACTTGATGCGCTGTCCCATGAGTTTACGTCGCCCAAGTCCGATATGGTATGGTCGCAGATTGCTCCTACCTTTGTATCTGCGGCCGGGCTGGATGTGGGACTTCTTCCGACGCTGATTTTGAATGGCCAGGTTCTTCCTCATATCCGCCACCTCAAAGCACGTGAAGTTACTGCGGCTGTGGAATGGGAACAACAGAAGCATGTATCTACATTGCTTAACACCTTGACTGTGCCTGAACGCCCTCGTGATGTGCGTGCACAGGTAGTCGAGTTTGCTACTGCGATCTTAGGCAAGGTTTTTGTCAAGCAAGTCACAGATACAGGGTCCAGCGAGGCCTCTAGCAATCCACGCGTGCCTATTGCACCTCTTATTGCGTCGTCGCCCGTGGCCTTCAAGGTAGGTGATGCCTCTGCTGCTATCCATGTTTCTGTGATTATGGACCCAATTGCGGAAGAGGCCCCTCAGCTAACGTCTATCCTCCGCATGCTAAGCTCTGTTCGAGGTGTACGATTGTCTATTCTTATGAACCCGCGTATGCGTGTAACTGCGATGCCGCTTCAGAGGTTCACTAGGTATGATGTGCGAATTCGACCAGAGTTCGATGCTCAAGGGCATGAAAGGATTCCTGGGATTGCGTTTAATCATCTTCCCCAACAAGCCGTGCTTACTATGCAATTACACGCACCGCGTAGCATGGTGACCATGGCTGATGAAGCCATCTATGACCTGGATAATATTCGACTCTCTGATGTACATGGCAGTGTGGATGCCATATATGCCATCAAGAGCCTCTTGCTCGAAGGATATGCACAGGCTTTGCCGAATAGCATCCCACGTGGACTGCAACTTGTACTAGAGACGGATGATCAGTCGACACAACTTGATACGATTGTGATGGAAAATCTGGGCTACTTCCAGTTCCGTGCACAGCCAGGCCACTGGCACTTATCTATCCGTGAAGGCCGCAGCAGTGATGTGTACGAAATGCTGAGTGTAGGTTCCCAAGGTTGGAGGAGTCCTCCAGTCAATGAAACCAGTTCCTCAGTGCTAATCGATTCACGTTTAGGATTGACTGTATTCCCGCAGTTCCGCAAACGCCTTGGTAAAACCGTGGAAGAGCTCATTTCAGAAAGGCCCAAGGATGATTCAGGTCTAGCATCTGTCAGCCATGGTCTGCAAAAGCAATGGGGCAAGGCGCTTCGTCTCTTGCGGGGTACAAAGTCCAAGCACGCTGATATCAATATCTTCACGCTTGCCAGCGGTCATTTATATGAGCGCATGACATACATCATGATCCTGAGCGTTTTGCGGCACACAAAGAGCAGTGTCAAATTCTGGTTCGTGGAAAATTTCCTGTCTCCTTCATTCAAGGCCTTTATTCCGCATTTGGCAGAAGCGTATGGGTTTAAGTACGAACTTATTACATTTGCCTGGCCGGAATGGCTTCGTGAGCAGACGGAAAAACAACGTATGATTTGGGCGTACAAGATTCTTTTCTTGGACGTCATGTTCCCACTCGACTTGGATCGGGTGATTTTTGTGGACGCAGATCAGATTGTACGCTCTGACTTGAAGGAGCTGGTGGATATGGACTTGCGTAATGCACCATATGGCTACCCACCAATGGGCGATGACAGCGAAGATATGGACGGCTATCGGTTCTGGAAGAAGGGATACTGGAAGGCATTCCTCCGTGGTCGAACATATCATATCTCTGCCCTGTATGTCGTGGATTTACAGCGATTCCGTTACATGGCGGCGGGTGATATCCTTCGACGCCACTATCAACGCCTAACTGCGGATCCGAACTCGCTGGCGAATTTAGATCAGGACTTGCCGAATCATTGTGTGTATTATATTTTTTTGCTAACTTTTCAGTGCAAACCTACTTACCTATTTACACGCTTGATAAAACATGGCTCTGGTGCGAGACATGGTGCTCTTACGATTGGTTGTCTCAAGCGAAGACCATCGATTTGTGCAGTAATCCCAAGACGAAAGAACCGAAACTGGATAGGGCTCGTCGTCAAATTCCAGAATGGACGGAGCTTGACAATGAGGTGGCTGCGTTGGCTCATTCCTTACAAGCCAAGTCTTTCGACTCAAACGCACCCGTCGAGATGCATGATGAGCTGTAATGGTATAACATTATTTCACATAGAAGTACATAGGATAAGCTATTCAGTAGTATTGCTATCAGAGTCGCCCTCCTCCATCTGTGCCTCTACACCACGTCGTTGGCCATAAATGCGATGAAGAATAAGTGGAAGCGCGCTGGCAATGCTTAGTAGAATAAGTTTAATCATCATATCAAACGTCCAGACATGTTCCCACAACAAAGTCATAGCACCATTCGCCAACATACTGGCTTGACCTGACGTTGATGAAAGCGTAGTCCCATCACTACTCGCAGTCGACGCTGCGGCACTTGATTGAATTGCAGATGCAATGTTTTGAAGAATTTCTCCGATCTGAGTGGTGCAAAAGTTCCATGGGACACTTCCAATGGCCAATGTAACGGTATAGGGAAGTAAGGGTACATTCAGCACACCGCATGCAATATTCATCATACCGTAGGGAACAATAGGCAACAAACGCAAGAAAAGAAGATACGACCAGAGATCACGCCCAAGTTTAGGCGAAGAGTGGCGATGCGTTTCACCTTCATCAGTGTAGTGCAGTGATTGCAAAGCTTTGCGCATCGATAGAAGGGGCTTTGCTAGCTTGGGGAATAATGTCACAACCTCACTAAAGGGTGAAGCAAGCAAGTAGCAAAGCATACCTCCAAATCCTGTCAGAACGGATGTGTAAAGACTTCCCACGTAAGAGCCATACATGGCACCAAAGACAATGTTCATGATAAGACTTCCGGGTACGCAAAAAGCCTGCTTCCACGTGAAGAAAAAGGCCAATACAAAGAAGACATGCAACCTGGCCTGGGAAGAGCTGTAGGCGTACTTCTGAAGCTCCGTGCAAATATCACTGATTTCGCTCACTGTGAGATGAGTTAAATGCTTAGGCAAGTGTAGGGGTAATGTACTCAGTAAAAAGCCAAGTGCAATTGTCGCACAGAGGAACATAGTGCCGAGTAGAAGAACTTTGTGAGCATGTGGAAGCAGTAATGACCACGACAGTGATTGACCTGATGAGTCAATGTCAGCTCTTGAGTCATAAGACGCAGAAAACAGATTCGTTACGCTCTGCTTCACTTGCGTGAGAAGCGATGGATACTTCGTTGTTAAGATAGGCGCAATACCATTATCCTCGTAGCTTTGAGAGCTCCAAGTCCAAGAAGGAGCAGTAGAATCAAAGCTACTAGGTGGGCTAGCCCGGCGTTGTTGGCTCCCAGTCAGGCGCCAAGACAGGATATCTTGCCAAAACGTGTCTACCTTCGCAAGGTTAGCAGTAGATCCAGCTTGGGTATTGGTCATAGTCGATGATGAGGTATCTAGGATTGTAGAGCCCAGCGAATATTCTTCCATGGGTGTAGGTGTGAGTACCTCGGAATGAGAATCACCATACCGGTCTGTTCGGAAACCATCCGATACCGGTGAGAGTGGTGGGCTCGACTCATTTAGTAGAATCGCAGAAGCTCTTCGAGCAGATGGCATTAAAAGGTTTGTAGAGGATTGACGCTGTCCTGTCTGTGCTGGTGGCTCCTCTGCGCTTAAATGCCCCGACACCGGCGGAGGCATACTCGGCGTAACATATTCAAATTCAGGAACACACGCAAACGACGGAGGTGTTAATTTGCCACTTAGCAAAGAAGACGAACGAGCTCGACTTCCTGGTCTCCTACCATAATGGAGAACAACGTCAGGGGTGCCCGGGCCACGGTCAAAGCCATCGGCTCTATTCAGATCAGCAAAGGATCGCATCGTAATTATGTTGCCGGGCATTTGTCCAAAAGACGCTGCATAGTTCCTAGCATGTCTGGGTTTCCAAGGCGAGCTGGATTGCTTCCCTCCTTGCGTCACATCTTGGGTAGAGTCTGTCGCAAAATCCATTGCCGAGGAGGGAGGGAGGACAGTGAAGGCAGGCGCCAAGGCCAAATGATCTCTCTACAAATTCTAAAGCAAAAAATATTGGCGGTGGGTGCCTCCCGGACCCTATACATGCAGTCCCTAGTAAAAAGATCAGCTTGAATAAGCCGGCGTAGCCAACCGGGTATAAGCGCTAGTAGTCAATTTGCTATCTACGGCCGAGTGCCACAATTTCCAACAGGGCCGCACGGATGCTCCACACCACGATGAGCATCGCCCGGCTGAGATTATCAGACAGGGCGCCTCTCCCAGGACGGCTGTTTAGGCATTTCAGCCACTCTGTCCCAAAGCCATCCGCATATGCCAGTCGACTGGTAGACCGTACACTGTACGAATTTCAAGGACCTGATACCTTTAAGTTTCTACAAGGAAGTGTAACAAACAATGTTGCCGTGCTGGAAACCATAGCTTCCTCCAAGACGTATGTGCAAGGACAGGACACGCTCTACTCCGCCTTTTTGAGTCCACAAGTAAGTGTTACATATGTTAACGATAGGGACGCGTAGTTGCGGATGCATTCATGCACCCTATTCCTTCTGAAACTGACTTCAAGGTGCTTGTAGAGGTGGATAATGCCATCGCACCCGACTTCATCAAGCTAGTGACTCGTTTCAAGCTGAGGTCTAAGGTGAAGATATCGGATGTAAGCGAGAAGTGGGATGTATATCAAGTTTGGGGCAACGGTATCGCAACCATTGTATCAGCAGATGACCTGTTTGCCACTAACTCTTTCTTGTTAAGAGATCCACGGACGCCGGAAATGGGGTGGCGTCTTCTAGCATCAAAGAATGCTGGCCTTAATATACCAGAAAAAGTGGAACAAGTGGCCCAAAGTGCTTACACAGTCCACCGCATGCTACAAGGCGTGCCTGAAGGCTCAAAGGAAATCATTTTGAACTCAAGTTTGCCGCTAGAGAGCTGCATGGATTATATGCACGGTGTTGACTTTCACAAGGGCTGTTATATTGGACAAGAGTTGACAGCGCGTACTCATTTCACGGGTTTGGTGCGCAAACGTATCTTGCCTGTCGTTCTCAGCACACAGCCAGAGGGAAACAACGAATTCACAGTCAATAATAACGCCTCCTTCTCGCTTCCAGCAAGTGGGGCTGATGTACGCCTGATTGCCGCAAATGTAGAGGAAAAACCTGAGAAACAAAGGCCTACACGTATGCGCTCAGCGGGTAAGTTTTTGAACGGCGTACACAATGTAGGCCTGGCACTTCTTCGCTTAGATCAAGTGGAGAAAACATTGCACCCTGCCACAAGCTCATCTGTCTTGGCTACTGAGTCTATGGATGGCAGCCCTTTGTATATTCGCGCTCGATTCCCTACATGGTGGCCTTCTACGAATGGAACTTCCAAGGGTGATTAATGTAGACGTATTTTCATACTTGAAAAAATAGCGCCAGCAAAGAAATATAGGCACCACAGCCGAGCATTTCAGCGAGATGTGTCTATGCCACGTGGATAAAATTTCAGCTGCGCAACACCAATGCGCAAGCACTTTGCATTTCCCTTCGCCATCTCATTAGATGTCCTCGAGAAGTCAAGAGAGAGAGGCAGGCTGTTCATCGAGTGAAGGCAGACATGCTTCACGGGACCCAGATATGGAAACTGGTTGGTATACCGTGAAAGAGCCTGTCGAAGATCCTAATTTACCCCATGATATGCATGACGCAGAGGACCGACACTCTGCACATCATGTTTTGTACGATTTATTCCATTCTGTTCATAAGCAGGGTAGGAACCATTCAGGTAAGCCCTACATTCAGGAGCATGGGTTCGATGTACCTGTCAAGTGGACACATCTAGTGAAGAGACCGGTGGTTCGTCAGTGGATTCATCAGAGCAATTTGTATAAAGAAAAAGATGAGCGACTACCCTCCCGTTTTGAACTTTTTTTTGATCTAATGTTTGTGGGAATCGCCCATGTAGTTGCTGAGGGGGCTACCGAAGAAGCAACTGGATTCAATTTACTGAAATTTGTTCTAGAGTACTTCCCTACATGGTCATTTTGGATGGATGTTCGCACTTTTCTTAATGTGTCGGGCACAGACGATTTGAAGGAACGCATGGGTCTTCTTGCTTCTATGGTTTTGCTAGCAGGATATGCTGGCAATGCATCTGCCTTGTCCATTTTGGAAGACGGTACCCCTGAAGAAGTATTTAAAAACGGAGGGGCTGCTGTAGACAGTGACTGGACGGGTGATATTGGTCGGATGAGGCATTGTAAGCCGGGCAATATAAAGTGTCAGGAGCTTGGTTACTATCTTGGTAACGGATACTGGCTAAAATATGGATATCAAGATGCCGTTCATTCTGCTGTCGCTTTTTATTTGGTCATGCGTCTGTTCCACATTCTATTGCATGTATATTATGGATGGCGGCTGCCAAGCTTTCGGCTTTCTATGTGGACACAGGCCATTGTTCGGTCCGTCATCTCAGTCATATACATTCCGATTATGTTTGTTTGGTCGCCTGCATTGATTGTGATTCTGATGTTTGTGGGGATGGTGTTGGAACTTTTGAATGCATTCTTGGTGTTGTACATTATCAAATTTTATCATTCTTTATCTAAGAGATGGAACAAAACGCCACTATATATTCCAGCGCTATCTATGGAGCATGTCATGGAGCGGACAATCCAATTTGTTATTGTCGTTGTGGGAGAAATGATCATTAGTGCCACCTATTCTGCTTCAAAATCCAAGTTTGGCCTTTCTATCCAGTATGGTCAGAGTGCTTTGGGTATTTGCTGTTCATTTATGATCATTTGGCTCTATTATGATGCGGATAGTTCGCGCACGTTCCAGCACGCTTTGCGTCGCCATGCCATCCCTGCTACACTCTTTTCGATGCTTCATTTCCCACTTACAGCTGCATTGATCCTGGCAGGTGCTTCACTGAAGAATATTGTCCAAGATGATAACGAGGTCATGTCTGGTGGCTATCTCTGGTTCTGGAGTGGTAGTCTCTGCGTGACACTTTGCTGTATTGGGTTGATTGGCCTTTTGCATCGAAACTTGGATATGCGAAACAGCACCCTCCTTCCGCGTTGGACCCGTATTGGCTGGCGGTTCGTTTGTGCGCTGATTATTTTATTCCTCCCTCTTATGCGAGAAAATTGGGAGACGATCAATCTCTTGGGAGTGGATCTCTCCATTTTGTTTGCTTTGGTGGTCTTTGAAACCATTTCCAAACTGGGAGCTGTGGGCAGGCACTATGATGCAGAAAAAGCAGGTATTGTTCGCCGGGCCAAATCTCAAAGTGCTGCAGCGACTGATCCAAAACTGGCAGAGTCTATTCAGCATGCGAGACAAGAATTGTATGATATGGGGGCCATGAGTCCGCACCACAGCGAAGCCATCATCACAGCGCCCACCAAGCGCTTCTATCTTAGTAAATCTATACCCTGGCACCCCTATGACGGGCTTACTATGGCTGAAACAGGTGAAGAGGATGTTGGTATGGAAGGAGAACTTGGACATTTGGAGACGAAAGAATTGTCGTCTGGTCAGCGATGGGCGTATACAACGTAGATTTATTGTATAGATTCTGAAAGTCTATGTTTCGTTGGTCTTGGATTGGGCTTGGTCAACCATGCGGCCATCTGTTAACGCCACAATGACAGCCAGATCTTCTTTTGCACAGTCATGATCTACCACTAGACCCGTATCGATCCTTGAAGCGGAATCGAAATGCGAATGATGTTCATGGGCTGCCACGAAAAGAGCGTCGCGAATGGCCAGAGGAGTCGAATCTACCACCATAGAATCGTTGAGGATAGCAGCAGCGGCTGGATGGAGTCGTTTTCTCAAAGTATCTCTAGACGCATTGGTGGGAAGCTGTACGGATCGAGAGCGACGTAAACGAAGCTTATTCGCACGTTGAATGGCATCTTCTGTTCCAGAAGAAAGGTAGACTTGATCGCGGTCAACATGTTTGTGCAGTTGCTCCATCATGGATAGGCGCCGGCGCTTAGGCAAATGAGAAGTATCACCATGGCCCACGCTAGAAGGCGGTGACATGGACATAGGGCTGTCCACAGTGTCAAGGCCACATTTGGCATGCAGGTGATTCCATCGAGAGATGTATGTAGCACCTAACAGGAATTTACGCACTAGAGTGGACATTAGCTCACCCGATTCGTCATCAATGATGTATCGACCTCGCGTGAGGGCGTCATACCCATCGTTTCCTTGGCACAGATACTCTCGCGTAACCACCGCATAATTTTTGTGCATTTGTAGTTCCTCGCGAACCTCGGGCGTAATACGACAAACCATTACAGAGTTCTCGTTGTCGGACTTGGTATCAGGCTCATACAAAAATGAATTGCGAATATTGATGAATGTCTCTTTGCTCTCAGGGCCCGAGCCATCGAACGGTTGCTTCAGCACATGAACACTAACAACGCGATGGCCAGGCTCGCGGGATGAATCCCATACTACTTGCAAGCCTGCTAGTTGAGGAAAACGACCCTCTTGCTTTGGATATGTGCTGAATCCATTCTCGAGAGCATCCCAAATGTCTTGCCCTGTGAGCTCTTTCACCACAATTGGGTCCTCGAATGGCATAATCTCCATAAGATTCCCTAGCGTGATTTTGCCAGGGCCAAACACACTGTCGCTCCGCAAGGATCCGCCACAAATCAAAGCACAATCCGCCATGCGGTAGTCATTTTGGAGAATCTTGCTGCACTTGGGATGCGACTTTCTCCTCAGCATGCGCTCCATGGCCATTAAGAGAATGTCCGAGATTAGGTCGCCGATCCCGGATTCTTTGGTTCGAACTTTTTCCGAGCGCAGGTCCCATTCGTTTAGTGTGATCGCAACAGGCTGTTCTGTAGCCTTCGTAACTCGTTGCATGAGTTGGTCAAGTAGTTCATGCAGCTCGGGGAGCGACTCATCGTTTGGACATGGCTGATGGCGCCGAACAGTAAGACGTTCAATAGTGCGACGACGCACAGCTGTGTCGTCATGCGGCTCAGACAGCGTAATTTCCACTTCACTTAGGTCATGGAAATCAGTACCACTCTTTACAATCAGCGTGTTTTCATCGTTTTCGCAGCCCATCATGGAACGCTCAAATTCGGTCCCATCATAAGAGTCAACACCACGGCCAATATAATATGTATGATCATGTCCGCCTAGAATAAGATCCACGCCATGCTGACTAGGATCTGTCTTAGCAACAGCACCGAGGGCATTGGCCAGTGCAATATCGTTAGGAAGACGGCAATGTGTAGCAGCAAAAATCAGTTCACACTTTTCAGGGCCCTCACGTAGCTCTTTCGAAAGCTTCAACGCTGTTTGAACCATATCGCGGTACTCGAACTCCTCCGGGAAGCCGGGCACAGTGTCAAGCCACTCCCTGCATTGTTAGACAGTATAAGGTACATACTCTTCCACAAGTCCAATGCACCCTATTTTGATTCCTTTGACCTCCATGACAAAATAGGGTAATGTCCCTTCGATCTGTTTATCACGCTCATCCAGTTCCGGTGATTGCTCTGAATCATCATCTCGCCAGGAAGCATCAACAACGTTCGAAAAGAGCCAGGGGAAATTTGTTTTACTCAAAAGACTCTGAAGGTGAGGGTATCCGAAATCCCAATCATGACTTTGCTGTAAGTAGAAGAAATTACGTACTTGCCCAAAACAGCGCAATCAACCTGCATGGCATTAATCACAGGCACCATATGTGCTCCACGTGTGATACTGCTCTCAACACTAGGGTTGAATAAATCGCCTGAAAATATGACTAGACCGTTTCTGTTACGCTTTTGATGCTGGGTCCAGTCAAAAGGTTTATCAGGGGCTGTGCGTTGACACACTTGGTTATCTTCGCCCCACGCAGAGCGAAGACGATGGATCAAAGCAGCGAATTGATCGGCGCCAAGCACTTCTCCATTCTTCCCTTTTTGTCTTACTCTGTATACACTTATATGTAAGTGGATGGAAATGCGTACTCGTTAAAGTGAAGCAATGGTATAGCCATTCGCCTCGACATGGCAATGTGAGTGGAACATTCTTAACAGTGCGTCTGTGCGTTCATGAGGTTCGTGTTGAATCACGTGATAATCCGCCCGTGCTGACCGCAACAACAGATGGCGTGGAGGGAGGAGCACTGTCCTATCAACGCCCCACAACAGTGAGTGTAGCACCATCATGCTTTCGTTGATGGGTTCAACTAGGGCCACCTTTGGCCTTGCACGTACTCTTCGAGTGCCTCTATACACGCCAGTGTCTACGTTCATTACGGCATCCCACGTATCGTATGCCAACACCAAAGCCGCCACTCGTACCAAGAAAAGTACAAAGGCGACAACCAAGACTAGCACGCGTTCGAAGAACACGGCTGCTAAGCCAAAGAAGGCAACGCCCGCTAAGAAAGACAAGCCATGGGAACGCCGCGATGAGAAGACAGGCGAGCTTTGTATGTATGAGTATGTCTAACGAGTTCTAGTGCCACTTCCTTACGACCGTAAGCCTACAAAGCGCCCCCGTTTCCTTATTTACTTTATGGAACGCCTTGAACAAGTTCGTGAGAAGCCAGAGTTCCAGATGACAAACCGTGATGGTAAGAGTGTGTTCGACATCCGTTCGGCAGCTACTACGATCGGTGCGGAATGGAAGCAACTCTCGGACTCTGAACGTTCGCGCATTGACAAATTGTACGAAGAGCACGTAAAGAAGTACGAAAAGGACCTTCAGGCATGGCAAAAGAGTCTGACACCGGACGAGATCCAGCGCCAGAACCAGTTCTTTGCCTACCAACGTAAGCAGGGCAAGAAGGCTGTACCGCGTAACATTTCTGGCCCTGACCAGCCGAAGCGCCCATTGAGTGCCTTTTTCCTGTTTACCCAGCACCTGCGTGAGCAGGGTGAGGCCAATACAATGCCCGTGACGGAGTTTGCACGCGAGGCTGGCGCGAAGTGGAAGGCCCTGAGTGCCAAGGAGAAGGAGCCATACGAGGAAAAGGCACGTGCCTCCAAGGAAGAATACCTTCAGCGTATGGAGGAATTCAAGACAGCGTAAGTAGTATGATAATTCCATTCCCCCTTTCTCTCTGAATTGATAAAAACAAGTCACTCGGAAGAACGAAAATAACATTGAAATGGAAAGGTATTATCTACTTGAACCCAACAGAAGACACTTACTTACGGTTGGCGAGGTAATGCTTGATCAGACCCGACGTCGACGAGTCATGGCCATCAGCATCGACCTTGGCAGGGTCGCGCTGCATGAGCAGCGGCTGGATCTTCTTAGCTAGCACCTTACCGAGCTCTACGCCCATCTGGTCGTACGAGTTGATGTTCCAGATAAAGCCCTGGGTAGCGATCTTGTGCTCGTACATCGCAATCAGGGCACCGAGTGTCTTCGGTGTAATCTTCTGGACCATGATGCTGTTGGTAGGACGGTTACCGCGGAACACCTTGCTCTTGAGAAGTGCCACGTTCGATGCCTTATCGCCGAGCTCCTTCGCGACTTCCTCTTCCGTCTTACCGAACGCCAAAGCCTCAGGCTGCGCGAAGAAGTTCGAAAGGAGAATGTCGTGGTGGTCGCCCAACGGGTTCTGCGTCTCAATCGGTGCGATGAAGTCACAGGGGATCATCTTGGTACCCTGATGAATTAACTGATAGAAGGCATGCTGGCCATTGGTACCAGCTTGACCCCAGATGATCGGGCCGGTCTGGTAGTTCACAGGCTCGCCGTTCTTGCCCACGAACTTACCATTCGACTCCATATCGCCCTGCTGGAAGTAATCCGCAAACTTGCACAGGTACTGGTCGTACGGCAGCAGGGCATGCGTCTGTGCGCCGTGGAAGTTGTTGTACCAGATGCCCAGAAGGCCCAAGATCACAGGCAGGTTCTGCTCAAGTGGGGCCTCCTTGAAGTGCATGTCCATAGCATGCGCACCTTCCAACAGCTCCTTGAAGTTCTCAAAACCGATCGAGAGCATAATGCTCAGACCAATGGCGCTCCACAGACTGTAACGGCCACCGACCCAGTCCCAGAACTTGAACATGTTCTCCTTCGCGATACCGAACTTGGTCACCTCCGACTCATTCGTACTCAGGGCCACAAAGTGCTTCGCAACATGCGCCTTGTCCTTGGCAGTCTGAAGGAACCAGTCGCGAGCGGTTGTAGCGTTGGTAATCGTTTCGATAGTAGTGAACGTCTTGCTCGCAATGATGAACAGCGTGGTCTCCGGATCCGACGCACGCAGAGTCTCAGCAATGTGCGTGCCATCGATGTTCGACACAAAGTGCATATCGAGGTCGCGCTTCGAGTACGCCTTGAGGGCCTCGCACACCATCACAGGGCCGAGATCCGAGCCACCAATACCGATGTTGACTACAGTCTTGATGGGCTTGCCCGTGTAGCCCTTCCACGTACCCGAGCGAACGGCATCAGAGAATTCGTGCATATGCTTAAGTTCCGGGATGACATCCTTGGTGCCTGGCTCCGAGAGCTTCAGCTCGTCGTGCAGATCGCGCAGAGCAATGTGAAGCACAGCACGGTCTTCCGTGTTGTTGATGTGTTCTCCCTTGTACATAGCATCGCGCTTCGCTTCAAGTTGAGATTCCTTAGCCAACGCGACCAACTGGGTGAAAATCTCCTCGTCGATGAGGTTCTTGCTGTAATCCAGGAGGATCGAGACATCCTTGTTGCTAGTCTCGAAGCTCTTCGAGAACGTCTCAAAGCGCTTCGGGTCCGCAGCAAATGCCTCTTTCAGAGTGATTTTCTTGCTTTCGTACAGAGACTGAAGCTTCTTCCAAGCGGAGAGTTCGTTAGCAGGCTGGACCGACATTGTGGTATGAAGTGAAACGACGGTAAGACCGAACCCGTGCGCCAAGCGCGGAGATAGTGGGGTCCGAGCGTCTAACGGGGCGCATATATCAAAATCTTATGTCATCATTCTCTGATAATCTGTGCCATCGCTTTTTCCACCGACGGACGACGAGCAAGTTCACATGGCGGAGCGAAGGAGCAAATGGGACCGGCCTGCGGACCATGGCACCAGCCAGCAGCAAAGCGTCGCTGTGACCACAACAACGGATACACGTCCAGGTATGTACACACGCCACTCACTATAAGCCGCCAAAGCTGCTGCTGCCGCCGCCGCGCGCATCGCCGCACAGTTTACGAGAGGTGAGCCGGCTGGCCCTGGTGCTCTGGTGCGGCACCCTGATTTTGATGAAGAAGGCCCAGATGGCGCCTATACGCATGACATTGAGATCAATGATCATCGTAATCGCTACCTGTTGACAAAGAGCCAGACACAAGACAATTTGCGCCATGAGACAGGCGCGCGCGTGTACACACGCGGCATATGGTACCCTGACCGTTCTAAGGCGCGTGCTAGTGATCCGCCATTGTACCTGCATATCACGGCGGATACACGTGAGAGTCTGGATCGCTGTGTGGCACGCATCAATGACCTGATGAACCAGGATTTGCCGCCGCTGCTGGACGACCGTTTGCACCGCAACGATGCGAGGGGGCCGAATGGATGGCCCGAAGAGCGTGTCCCGATCAACTTGGAACCGCTGCGCAACTTTAATGTGCGTGCAAAGATCGTCGGTCCCACTGGTTTGTTTGTGAAGTACATTCAGAACGAGACACGCGTGCGTGTCCAAATCAAGGGCCGTGGTTCTGGCTACTTGGAAACCGATACAGGCCGAGAGCTGGAAGAGCCTATGCATATCCATCTCTCAGGCCCAGAAGCAACACAGGTTCGTCGCGCCAAGGAAATGGCCTTGGACCTTGTGGATGCCGTCACAGAGGAATGGCACAAGGCTCGTGCTGCCACGGGCGGTGGCTCCATGGACTATGCTCCCAAGTCGCAGGAAGACATTCCACCGCCGCCTAGTGAAGAAGCTCCACCACCACCACCGGAAGGGGCGGAAGTTCCTCCACCGCCTGAAGACGAAGTACCCCGTACGCATTCGCTTACGACAACTAACATTTCAGCGCCACCACCGACCGATGCACCGCCGGAAGACCCAGCGCCGCCAGTCGAGGCAGCACAGGAGACTTCGCAGCTGGCCGAAGAGGAAGCTGCCTTGCATCAGTACTGGAAAGACTATGTGGCATGGGAGCAGAGCTTTGTGAACTACCATGGACGGCGGCCTACCGCCGATGAGGGCGCGCAGGACGTCCCACCAGAATACCGTACATGATCTATAATGTTCTACATGGGTATATTGTGGTATACTACCTGGACTGGGTGCGTGTAATAGTAGGAGGGTATATAGGTGCGTGCGAAGAGCGCGGCTTCTTGGACGGACCACCAGACACGCGACGTGGCGGTGGCCGCTTGCGGAGTCGCCGCATGGTGATCGGGGGGGACGAGGATGGCATGGAAGCATCGCTCGAGTACGGCGAAGACGACGAAGAGGAGCTGTCTTCCTCGGACGAAGACAACGATGTCTCAGATGAAGATGACGACGCTTCAGACGTGGACGATATAGAGAAAACCTCATCGGACGTCTCCGTGTTGGAGTCGTCCGATACGCCATCGTCCTCACTATCCCAGACAAGGGCATCACGAATCTCAGCTGAAGAACAGTGCCAAGCGGGCATAGAAAACTCTCTATGTTCTTGCTCGGCTGGTGCCATCGACGCTGCAAGTGGCCAAAGGGGAGGACTTCGATACAACACGTCAGCGGATTCGTCCAGGAGGTTGTACGCTGGGATGGCATCTCGGGCTTCCCGCACACGTTGGGCACGTTGCTGAATCGGTGCACAATGCTCCAAGGACCATGTCCGCCGAATAAGGCGCGGTTCGTACTCTTGCGCTCCAAAAACCTCAGATAAAAGGGTACACGTTTCTTCCGCGGCTTGTCGAAGAACAGGGTCGTCATGTACAAGTGCTACGGCCAAAATATCGCGCCACGTCAGTGGATGTGCGTACAGCCTTTTGTCGGTGCTCCAGTGTCGGTAAGTGAGAATACTCCGAAGCGCTTCCGCTTTATAAGGCGTAGGATCAGCCACAGCCGTATCAATATCACGTTGCAGCGTGGACGGCAGCACAGTGATGGAGGGCGCCCAAACCAAATTCAGAAGGAGAGAGCGCAGCTTTTCTTGGACTGCCATCCATACGTGAGCATGTTCCTGCTTATGGACCTGGTGCAATGAGTGCGTTTCCATGTCTGTGCGACGCGCTTGGCCCTCCATCATCGCAGCGACTTCGTCAGCAAGCAGCCAGGGCGGCGCAGGAGCATCATCACCGGCAAGGGGCCACAGCAGTGTATGCTGCCGCCGTAAAAACTCATACGCATTTTTACCGAGTGCTTGGCGCCATGGAACATCATGGTCACGCTGCTCAAGCGCGGCAGCGCCATGCTTCAGGGCCGTATTCATGCCACGCCGATTAGCTGCATCGCCCGACAATGCAATACCTATATCGGTGCCGTATTCATACTCTAAATATGTGCGTAGAGAATGTAGGTCGCCGAGCTCTTGCTGTGGTACCTTGGTCGATGCAGTCTGCGAGGCAGCCGACGATGTCTTCTGTTGCACGCGTGGAGTCGGCGCCATGAGAAAACACGTTGCGCCGTGCGAGAGAACGTGCCAAGATACTCGCTTACCTCAGCATATAAGCCGCGGCGTTTTAACGGACAAATGTGGGTCGTGCATTTCATTAACGTGAAAACACCGACCGTCAGACCTTGCTTTTTCTTTAACGAACATCATGGACAACATCGACTCAAGCCAGCTTATGCGCTTCGGCAAGAAGCTCCTCACCAAGGTGATGAACAAGCAAAACAACAATGGCGGCTACGGAGGCCAAGGTATGGGCGGCCAAGGCATGGGCGGCATGGGCGGTATGGGCGGTATGGGCGGTATGGGCGGCCAAGGCGGTAACAACAACCTGGTCGGCAGCCTGATCAACAACATTGTCGGCGGAGGCAAGCAAGGCGGCATGGGCGGCGGCTAC